GTTATACTGAAGTATTCAGTCTGAAAATAATTGAGATACAGAGAGAGAGTTTATCTGTTCAGATTAACTTCTATTACAAATTCATGACATTTATATTATCTTAATTACTCAAATTTTACAGGTACTCAGAGACTCATCTTCTATTAATAATAAGATTGTGAAAATGCATCATGATGTGAGAATCATTGATGAGAAACCTAGGCATATTTGCATATATCTGATCAGAGATTGTGCAGATAGAAGAGAGATGATCATAGATCTACAGAGCTGTAGAAGACACTGATAACATCAGAAGCTTTACAAGAACTGTTAGCTAGAGTCTGTAAGAAATTACTTATGAGAAGACTTACAGCAAAGAGAGAGACTACACTGCTTAAAGTCAGAGACTGATCTGAAAAAGACATGAGATGAGCTGCTGACTTAAAGATCAGATATGATGACAGAGCTGAAGAGAGTGAAGACACAGTTGTAAGCAGCAGTATCTCTGCTTCATCAGCTGATAAAAAGTGATTAGAGAAGTTATGAGAACACTTACAAGAAGCTCAGTAGTGATCAGACATTGTTTATAAAGATATTGAAATTAAAAAAATTTTTATTCTTGAGAAGTTCTTGAATCAATATACAGATATTATCAGAAACACTCTCTCTCTATTATCTGAGTGAAAATACTTCACAGATGAATGAAGATACTCACAGTTTATAAGAATAAGAGCTGTTACAGAAAAAGAAAAAAGAAGATGAGATTTTATAAACAGATCTGAGATATTTATACTACTCTAGAGAGATTTACTTACACTGTAAGTGATTCTACAGAACAGTCAGATCACTCTAGTAAATAAGAGTGATTATAAATTACAGATCTGAATCTTTCTATATAACTATAAAGAGTAATTACAGACTGTAGATATCTTGATTCTAAAATTCTATAGAGTTAATAAAAGAATGAAAAATTCCTTACAATTCTACAGTATCAAAGAACAATAATTTATAAGAATAAATGAAAGATTAACTTATAAATACTTCTCTTTAATAAGAGTGATCTCATAGAGAGTGATTTATCTGTGAGATGAATCTGTATAATAATCACACAAGAATCTTGTGAAAATAATTGAGAGTCAACTGAAACTCTTCTATATAAAAGATATAAGATGAATCTGTGTGATAATTAGAGAAGAATCTGTAGATTACAAAGAATCTCATAAAATAAGAAACTAAGTGACAGACTCTTTTTTCTTTACAGTAATAAGGGATTTTTTCCTCACTGAGATTTTTTATAGATGTGAAGAATTTTTAGTGAGTATTACTGCAGTGCTGAGCTGATTCTATAAAGTCACTCAGTGAAAGACTTTACAGATAAAGTCTTAGAGAGAGAGAAGTATGTAAGAAATCTCACTTCTCACAGATTCTTTATCTCTATTTCTATCTCTTATGTAATTAATAGAGCTAGCGGCCCTTGGCTACATATAACTATATAGACTGAAGTTTGTGAATACTATTCATAACTCAGCTTGAATGCTATTATACATTTAATCTCTACATTTTATCTTTCTATCACAAATACTTCTAGTAGTTAACAGTACATATCACGCCAAGCTGCAAACACCCGAATAATCGCCTGCGAGTACTTATTCTTACAAGCTCAGATTTAATATAATAATATCTTTAATCTGAAAGATTAAGAATCTTCTGAGATCTGTGTTATTAAGACCTGTATTATATTATATAATAAGAGATATTGAATTCTTGCAGCTATTAACACATGTATAAGAAGAAGTGAATAAATCTCAGAGTGTTTTCTTTCTCTTTAAAGAATTTATCTTATCTCTCATCTTTCATCTCTGTTAGCTGTTTTTTTTTTTCAGAAATTATATTATTTATCTCTATTAATTCATCAGAAGTTCAAAAAATCATCAATACTATTATTATAACTGAAAATAATATCTTGAAACATATTCATTGTAAGTAAGATTCTTAAAATGATGAAAATTATAATTCTAATAGTTAGTATAATTCTTAATAATCTTGTTCAGTCTGTTAAATTATCAGCTGTTAATCTCATTTTCAGTTCTATATTTATATCTGTGTCTGTCTCTGCTGTATCTATTAGTTCTAGATTATTAAGTTAATCATTGACTTATTTAACTGAAAGAATGTCTGAGAAGCTGTTAAAGAAGTTACAGACTCTCATTAAATTACTCTATACTTATAAGTCAGTCTTATAAGAGAGTTATTAGATTAATATAAAAATCAATATAAATTATAAAGCTCTTCTTCTATAATTCTATAGTACTGTTTTTATAGTTCTCTGCAGTTACTGTATTAAAGAAGAAGACTCTTTTATCATCTATATCAGCACTCTGAATCAGTGTTATAAAACTTATATCAGTTATTATTATAATAGCACTGAAAGTTACTGCTCTTATTATAGAAGTAAGTTACTTTTTAATATAAAATATATCAATTTTAATACAATTAATTAATAGTTATACATAATTAATATCAGTAAGAAGAATGATAAAGTGAAAGAAAAGAAGTAGAAGAATGAAAAGAGAAAGAAAGTTAAGAAGAAGAGCTTATTCAAGAAACACTCTACAGCTGAGAATACAGAGACTAGAGTCTTAAAAAAATAGACAGTAAGTGTTGAGTCAGTTAATAATTATAATATTAAGATTTTAACTCTTTGTATTGAAAATGAGACTCTGTACAAGAAGAATGCAGCTCTGAAGATCAAATTCAGAACTATTACAAGTCTTCTTCAGACTATTTAAACTATTCTTGAGAATGATATATGAGCTGATGAGACAGAGTAAGATGTTTTTTATTTTTTTTCTTGCTTAGTTAGCTAATGCTTTTGCACTGAAAAATGAATCTCTATATGTTTTTACAGTTCTATCTCTTCTATTATTATTAATAATAAGCTGTAAAATCAATCTTGTGAGGTCTTCTGTTTTGAGCTTAGCTCTGCAACATCTTTGCACACAGAGGCTCATGTGCATTAAGATATTTTAATTAAGCAGCAATCAGTGGGTGAGCAATACATACAGGCAAAGTCCCCTGCTATTTAATCATTGCTTGCCAGTACGTTGCACCGAGGAACGGTTTTGTACCGGGTTTTCGCTCCAGGGTTTTTTTTTTTTTTTTTTTTTTTTTTCCTTCTTCCACCGTATCGCATGTATCCTAACTTGTTTTGACCAGGTGTGTTTGAAGCAAAGAAAGTGCAGTATCTTGGCAAGATTCCTTTAACCATCAGAATACTCCGGATACTACTTCCACTAGGGCCACCCACCCCCAAGTCAAAAAGCCGCTCAATTGACATGGCTAGTTATTCGGAATCGGAGAAGACCGAGTCTCGGGGTGACACCAAGAACCGGTACCCTCTTGCCAATCGTTTTTAAGGCTGAATGTGGGGGCTCAGCTGAAGATCAAGGAAGATCTAGCTCCATGATGCGCGAGAAAGGAATTGAGAAATTCCTTGCTAGATAGCTGCCCCCGGTCCAGCTTTCCTCTTCTACCACAGTGGATGTATGTACATGTACATGTACTAAGGACTGCTATCTTGCAGCTGGATCCAAAAGCAAGGGGGACGGATATTACTTCCTCAGCCACCACAGGCAAAATTGCTTGTTAGCTTCACATTGCGTAACATGCATGTGAATTGAGTATGTATGTATGAACCTGTGCTGCATACCCTCTCCTCTCCTGGGTCCCAATGCTGTCAGAAGCAGTGAGTGATTTGGTTCACATGTGTGGAATAAAGAATACTCTTCCCAATGATTTCAGAGAAAAGAAGAAATCCACAGATTTCGCATTGGGATAACTATCATCAAGATATTCAAAAGTGATGGCTGTCAAGCATCATTCTTGCATCACTTGAATTGAAGCCATGATAGCATCCAGAGCATGGGTTCTATCAAATAGAATTTATTGACCTTCAATGTGGAGCGGATTCAACTTTCTCCTGTCTGTGAGTCGCAATCAATTTGATTCTTGATTTTGAGTTTCCCTTCTCATAAAATTTGATGCAGTTGAAGAACTATGAGGGATATTAGCTGGTTTCAAGCAATCACAAAGCACAAAATGGATAACTCATAGTGTAGCCGATGTCACCAACCCAATCATCAGTGTTTTGAGGTGGAACAAGAAACGCAATCATGATGGGTATGGGTTTGCGCAAACCGGCGGCAGTAGCTGCAGATTTAGTGACCTGTGGCCCCTGACAAGCAGATTTGCATACATATTTCTCTTCAGCCGATCTCGAAGTGAAAATTGATACAAGAAATGCTTTGCCACTCGAAATCCTCCCCGTTACAACATTCCTCTATTGACGTCTACTCCAACAGAGTGCAGAGGAGGAGTTGTTTTTGCCTTTCTCTTGAATGAAGTCATAACCCTTATCGACATTGAAGAATTAACATTGTTCTCTGTATCTTTCGTGCGCTTTGTCGAGAATAAAATTGCATGCGTTGAGTCTGCACTCACTCCGGTGTCAACCGTCAGCAGCAAAACCCGAACATGTACCGGCCGAAGGTTCGTTCGGCTCCAACAACCGAACCGGCTTTAACTACATAAATATATTCCTCTCAGTCGGAGCAAGGATTTATTTTCGAACTTAGTTATATTGCTATCCTCTTGGAAATTTCCCTCAAATCTGCAAGCTGCTGACCACCAAAACCCTAAAATCATAGAAGGAAATATAGGTCCGGTGCCTAGACTCTGCGGATGAAACCCCATGGTTATTAGTTGAAACACGTTTCTTGAAAGATGTCACAGAGGCAGGATCGGAAACAGGAACAAAAGCCGAGCGCATTTTTTAAAATTGGTTTAAGCCCCGTGATACGTGAAATTTTGGCGTACACGAGTCAAATGGATTTTTTGCAGGTTTTACAGTGTAAAAGCTTAATTAATTCCACATAATACTCATCATACAGGCACACTCCAGCGATACTAGTCCTATTGTAGTTAATATATTACTATATATGATTTAGTCAGACTTGGCTTTCAGACTGTGAGCTAAAGACAAAATGTAACTTCATCTGAACCATACACTAGTTACTACTACTACTGCATATCCTACCCACTCTAGTAACAAGTTGGAGGGGCGGGCGGCCAACATTCCGGAGCCCCAGGTGAGGTTGGGAGGGACAGAGCGGCTGGCTTGAAGAACATATCTTATCTACCTGCATACATATATGTAAAACCACTGTAGTCAACAGCCAATGTGCAGATACAGATACATGCATACAGACATACACTGCATGTTTTATGTCAATGAAATCATGCCATGCAATGCCACAGCATGCCATGTCTGTGAAGCAATATCCATCATCTGCATCCTCGGTGAAGCGAGAAAAGAGAACAAATACCCCCGTTGCTGCCTTTCTTGAAGAGCCAGGGTTTGAGCATGACACGGGCGGATAAGGGTAGATGACTGAGGTGCTTGGATATAATAAATTTGAGAGCTGTATTTGGGCACTCTTTTGCTTTCACGCCGGGCATAGATTGGTGATCTTCGATATCTAATACTCTCATATAAATGCCTACCCAGGACACAATTGTACAGACAACGAAATCCATCCAAATCCAGTGCTATATTCACATCTTCCCTCACAAGGTCTCCGCTCCCTGCAAACGTCAGCATACATATACTATGGAGGAACAACCAGGATTCCCCTCATCCTTCCTGCTAATCCTACATTTATAGATCTCTGTCAGAGATTATAAAAGTTAATGCCAGTAAATGAAGAGATAGTAGATAGAAAGCGTCCCGCTCATCCCTCGCTATTATTTTAAACAATGTCGTCCCTCGAAAGTGTTCAAAAAATAACGCCCCCACGTCCCCTTCTAATTTTTCCCTTGCTCAGAACAAGGGAACCCCGGCGTGCACCCCGGATGCTGAAGGGCCGGCCTGATGATGATCTTCCATGGATGTTGGTTCTTGGGGAGATAATTATGTTACGCTTTTCGAACATGAAAATAAAAAAAACATGGGATTATACAGAACTGGTGATATTATTTTAAGCAACACATATTTATCCTGCATGTTTGTTTCTTACCAGATAAATGTCATTTTTCGCAGACGAGCTTCAATCAAAGCTGGGAAGAAAGATTAATATAGATGAATATATTCATTGCCAGTCTCAGCTGCAGAAGTCTGTCAGCTATAATGAATAATATTTTCCAGTGAGAAGCAAGTTTTCAATCATTCAGTATGTTGAAAACCAACTCACATCAAGAACTGTAGAAGCTGCTCATAGGAAAGTACTATTTAAAAGAAAAAGCATCAGAGAGAAGAAAACAGCATTACTTGAGTAAACTGTTTGATACAGCATGGTTATAAGCTGCCGGGTCCGGGCTCTGCTCTAACTACCACTAGGCCAAAAAGACCATAAGACGACTGGCTCCTGCTAGCCGCACCCGGTCACCCATCCTTACAGCGTACATAGTGGTGGCTTGCCTGCTCCTGCCCCCGGCCCCGGCGCCCCGGGCTACCATATTATTAACGACAAAGCTCAGTTGATTTAACTTGATTATGTATACACAGTGTGAGCTGATTTGTTTGATGTGAGGAATTCTCTCTTGTTCTTCTGTTATACATACCTTAAAGCAAAGACAAAATGTCAACAGGGAATAGATAGATATATTCCAATACCATTATTATAAATTTCCACACTCATTATTGACTGAGCATACTCTGTGTCAAACCTGTCAATCTCTTTCAGACCCAGCAAGTTTTATCTAATCAAACACAGCACTTTGAGAATTCAAAAATGATCAAAATGAAGAGGAAAAATGAGATACAATAATTCTCTGTATCATCTTGAGTCATTTGTTCAAGGCTTATCTTGCTTAAGACATGATTCTTTCACTTCACTTTCAAAAAGTGAACTGTAAAACTACTTGTTAACTCATAACATACACAGAGAAGCTCAATTAAACAAGAAATTAATAGCATATTATAGAGCAAGCTCATATGAAGTAAGTGTCAGAACAGAGTTATCTCTACTTGCATATATGGACTTCTTATAAACAATCAGCATCTAATTGTGAGGACAAGCAGGAGTACAGTAAAAACTTGTTCATTGCCTTGAGTGGCCCTCTACAACATTCCACCTTTCTCAATGAATCAAGCTAGATTCTTGCTTGCTTGCTTCCTGCCAAAATAAACTCATTGTATTCATCAATACCATTGCATACAACCCATTCTTTCATCCTGACAATTTTTGCAAAAAACTGATACACCCGCGCTCAGCCAACCTTGCGGATGGAAGTGCAAAATGGGATTTTTGCAGTCGATCCTCATAGCACCTTCACTAAGTGCCCCAGTAGCGCATCCATGGATACTAGCGGAGCCCCCAGAAGCGAACGCAACCTACGCAGTACGTAGTAAACAAGTGACAGCCGCTGATTGGCAGCGTTTGGCGGCGGTTCAGGCTGGCGGCTGGCAGTGATTGGCAATTTGCAATTTGGCATTGTGGGGGAAAGTGGCCCAGGTGAGGTGTCCTTGTTGCTGTTCTTCAGCATCCAGGGGTGTGAGAGGGCATTTCTCTTTGATAGGATAGGGTAAAATTAGTAGTTATAGGCTGGTCACTATGGTTTTTTTTTAAGCTTCATACTGATTACGACCTATACTTATTAAATTCAGAAAAGTACAGTCTGTGGTGGTAGAATGACGCTGCTCTTTGTCAAGTCAAAAAGGGACTCGGGAGCCGGGAGCTCCGGCGACGGTCCAAATGTTGTCGGTGGGAGCTGAAACAAGCGACGTAATTACGAATTTACGAGCCGGAGATCTTGAACTATTTGATGCGCGCCAGGGTCAGTAGTTCCGTAGTGAGATCGTCGAAACGAATTCATTAACGGGTCAAAACATTTGGTTTTCTGCGTCATGGAAGTAGATCCCATGTTGATACTGAGCTTGCTGGATATGTAGCTATATCTCTGCTCATGATTGGATTTTGTGAGAACGACTAAACTCCCGTCCCGGTTTGGGATAGTTAGTTATGTTTTGAGGATCTTTTCAATATAAATAATAATAATAATAATGTGGATGATAATGCACGCGCTGCGCCACAATAGTATATGAAAACCTCGATTCGCACATGACATATGTGGATCATGTGGAGCGTGGAGTGGAGGAGAGGAGATATTGTTAATATCACCAACCTTGGTATTAAATAATATATTAATATAAAACTGACTTTTTTACTCTAAAAATGACAAGATCGTTAATACTACCTAAGACGGATAAGACAGCGGTGACAATGTGCCAAGCAAGTTCTTCAGGAACAAGAATCAACAGCCATGCATGCAGCAGCACACAGGGGACTCAGCAGCACTTAGACAGGGCAGTTTGCCCGTGCTTTGGATAAGCTCGCAGGGACGAACAGGCAATTCCCTGCGCACTTGAAGCTGTCGAGGGGATGGAGTATGGATTCAGGATGTCGATCCGGGTACGGTACGGATCTGTGTACATATTTAGTACAGAATACAGAGTTAGGAGTATTAGAGATTCGAGGAAGATGTAACTTAACGGAGTAAAGTAATACTATTTAATATTGAAAAAATACCATTCCACCACGCCAATCTGACCTGGGACAGGAACCGGGCGTACAGAGCAGGCGGAAATACAATTGAGTGTCTCATACACAGGAGAACGGAGGAACTTGGTAATAAAAGTCCGGTATCTTCGCCGTCCGTTCCCGTAACGTACCGAGAATTTGTCAGGTACGTACCGAGTAGGTTACCTATTTCATTATTACAAGACACAAGGTACCAGCGTGCAGCCAATCAGCGTGTGTCTCGCTCCCCCCCAAAATTGCCCTCCCGCGATTTCCCGAGGGACTAGCTGCATGACTAATCCATCCCGCGCCGTCCCTTGCCTTGTGTTGGTGTTGGTTGCTGGGTCTTGGCGGCAGCGTTTCCCTTTTGGCTTCTTCGTCCGCTCTCTGTCTTGTCTTGTCTCTATCTCAACATCTTCATTTTCCATCTCTAACCTCTTCTTCCTCTTCTTCCTCTTCTTCCTCTTCTTCCTCTTCTTCCTCCCCTTCCTCCCCCTCCCCCTCCTCTCCTCCTACGCTTTTATCCACATCTTCTTCCTTTTCTTCTCGTTCATTTCTTCATACTTTCCCTCTGTCCACCATTTCGCTCCTTTCCTAGTCCCACCCTGTCTCCTGGCCATTCGTCGTGGCCGTCCGCTCCTTACCGTCTCTCTCTCCTTCACTTTGTGATCAATAGCTTATGACAGCCTTCTGACGAATATACCTTCTATCTAATTGCAACTCCCGTCCCTACTGTTGTATTCTCTGTCATTCACCGCTCGACGGGTTACGGTCCCTGTCCACATCTCTACGCTGCCGAAGCCGCCTCTGCCGGGAGGGGCCAAATGTATATTTGGAGTGAATAACGGCGGGCTGCCTGAAAGAAGAAGGGGTTGTGTTGTGTTGTGTTGTCTTGTGCCTAGGGCTTAGCCGGAGGCAATCTTCGCGATAACAATATCTAAATTTCCGTCATTCTGCTGGACAGGTGAAGTTAGTTGTTAATCGCCTGTTTATATCTCGTGGAGAGCAAAAATATTTTAGCCTGCGTGAACGAGTACTGCACCGGCTGGCGCTGGTACTGTTCATGATGACTTCTCTATCTCTTTCCTCTGCCCAGGCTCAGCATCTGTCCCTGGATTCCTCGAGGACCTCTTACGACATGCAGAATTCCCGGCGTCTGTCAGCCACTATTCCAGCGCCTAACCCGCCGTTCGTTTTCCCACAACACGAGCCTCCGTCTCCCAAGCCCACGTCTAATCGTTCACCTGCTCCGCTTCCTGCCTTTTCATTTCCGCAGGCGCCTGATCCAGCTGCTTCTTCTACGTCTCCCCCACCCACGACACCAAATTTACGTCCTGTCGGCCATCGTCGACGTCCAAGTGAACTGAATGGCAGTGAACCTGTAGGGTCATTAGGGCCGCCAATGTTGGAGAGCAATGTGCTTCCGACGCCGCCACCTCTTCCCACGCCAGGACCAGGCCTGAGTGGCCCTGGCCCTGGGCGACGTGGCCACCACCATCGTCGGTCCGCTGCCATTTCGAGCATGGACTTGACAACAATTACAAAAGCGTTCCCGCCAATACCGGTGGGAGGTAGCGCGCCAGTAACTCCTGCAGATCTTAGACAGCAACATGCGCTGAACGAGGATATAGCCAGACCGAGCTCCCGTTCATTCCCTAACTTGACCCCACATACACCTCCCATCTCCCCCGGCTTGAGTCTCTCCATCCCGAATTCGAATTCAAATCCTCGTAGTCAGATGGCGAAATCCTCTCCCAGCTCACATCGCCCGCTCTCAACCATTTCCTCAGAGGGTAGCATGTCTACCGTCTGTCACCATGGCCATGGAAGTAGGGCATCGTCAGCTGCTAACACGATAACCACAGAAAAGCCACAGACTCGTCCGAAAACAGCTGGACCTTCACTGGACCAAATCCACGGGACATCCGACTCAACAAACGAAAATCCACCCCAAAAAAGACCACTTTCTGCTTCTGCGTCCGTTGCTGGTCTGAACAAGTCTTCATCTGACGCTCCAGAACTCCCTCCTCTCAAGAAGAATATAATTGAAGGATATAACAAGTTCACTAATATCTCCATGTCCAAAAAGGGTTCCGCTTCACTTCCAAAACTAGAGCCCACTGCATCTAGTCAGGATCGACCCCGAACTTCACCAGAGAGGAAGCCAAGCAAGAAGCCGAAGAAGGTACGTTCATGGGCTGGTATTCTGACGCGAAAGGCGAAGAAGCGCTCAAAAAAGCCGCTGTCGAGAAAAGCACCGACTCCTCCGCCCATTCTTAGTCGAACCAACTCGGAAATCGGGTCAATGGCGGAAATCAACTTTGATGACGATAATGTGATTATTTTACGGACACCTACGCTACCTGATGCTCCTAGAAATTTGGATACCACTGAAACAAAGGATACATTTTCACTGGAATCCTCTTGGAAACCACGAAGCTTTTATGAACAAGGAACAGATTCCGATATGTTTAGCCCTGTAATCGACTTAGACGCTGCTCTTGGACCTTTTAATACCCCAGAAATGGGATCTGACCGTAATTCTGGAAGTGGATTCTCTGCTGCTACAAAACGTATGTACAGTGGTGGCCGAAGAGGAGAATTTGTTGGACCGGAAATGCGGTATCATCGTCGTGCAGAAAGCGCTCCGGAAATGCCTCCCTTTGATCGCAGTGCACTTGGACTCGGCAGGTTCGGTGGAACATCGACTCTTACGAACCCAGACGTTTTCTATGAAGAGGAGGAAGATGCTTTCCTTGCTGAAACAGATGTTGCTGAATCACCTAGTTCAGTGTCCGAGACATCCTCACCTGTAGCTTCAAATGACGAAGCAAATCACTCGTTTGAGAGTAATTCGTCTGCCACAGTGACAGGTGCACCTTCGAAAAATAATGAGAGCAATTCGTTATCGCCACCTAGTCTTGGTATTGAAGCTATGGATTCTAAGAATCCCCCAGTCGCGGTTGCTGACACAGATTGCGAGACAGCCAGCAGTCATCCCGGGCCATCCCAAATTGAGGATTCTCCACTTACTCCAAGTTCAATTGCGACTGGGATATGTGGCCATTCACACAACTCCCAACGGTCTGACGATATCGAGATAGTAGAAGTCGAGAATTGGCCGATGTCAGCTGAGAAGCCTACAATTCTTCCGGATAAACGCCCTTCCACGTCACCGGATTATGTCTACTCGACGATGCCCAAAACCCCCGTTCCGGACGTTCCCGTCCTCAGCTTCCCGTCCCCAAACGCTTCCAATATCTCATTCGAACCTCCCCGATTAACAACTGCTTCTTCAACAATGACGGATCGAGACCGCCAGACATTCCATTCTGGCTACAGCATGGACCCGGGCACATCCGATTATAACTATCGCCACGACTCTGCCGAAGATGTCCCATCCCTAACTAGCAGTGCTTCCACCACAACGGGTACCATGCCCAGGTTTTCCTCTAGCTTCTACGCCCGTGGCCCCGGCGACCGAGCCTCCTCGTTTTCCGCAGCCACATCCCGACGAACCAGTCGCTCGAATGCACCCAAACGGTCCAGCCTGGTCAGTCTTTCCAAGCTCGTCACGGGGAGCACCGGCGAGAAATCGAAGCTTAGTTACGAGGAGAAAGCACCGCGCGACGACACTGAGAAGAGTAAGAAAAAGGGGCATCGGATTAGTCGGTTGATGCATTTTTGGAGGGCGAAGGAGAAGCAAAGGGAAACTGATTGATTCTACTACCATTACCAATATCAACGCCTCTACCCTCTCACCTCCGTTGTTTGAGTTTATATCATGAGCATCATCAACCATAAGAACCGAAAATATTCTGACAGTAAAAGAGCGATCTGTCCGGTTTATGTATGTGAAAGTCATATTTTTGCTTTTGCTCTTTTTTGTTCTATCATCTTGCACTTTTTCATCTTAACTTCATTTCAACATCATCATTTTTTGCAGCTTCTACTTTTATTAGTCTCTTCATTTCTAGTTTCCGTTTTCCTTTCCTTTTCTTTTTTTCTTTTTTTCCCGTTCTCATTTTCATTTCCGTCTTAAATTCCCCCTGTTGCTCTATTTGTCTTTCGATTCTCATTACATTCTGTCTCGTTTGCTCGACATTTTAATTTCCTTTTTTTTTCTTTTTTCACTTTCGGCTGGCGGCGTAAACATCAGGCAACAACGATATCATGGATGGGACCCATTGACTTATGGAGGCTTTTTTTCTTCTTTCCATTTAATTCTTTTATTGCAATATTTTCTTTCCCCTGCTTTTACCAATCAATAAATCATCTCTCTCTTATCAGTTTTCTTTTCTTTCTTCCACAGACATTCATTTACTCAGTCAACTGTATGGTTTTCCTCTTTTCTGAGTTAGTTTTTGGTTTTTACTTTTATGTTCCGCTCGTTCTAATCATGAAGACAGGAAGAAGGAAAGAAAGAATAAAGAAACTAGACCATAGCATCGCTATAGGAAAAAAAATACAGAATAATGTTTCTTTTCGTTACTCTTTATTGATACCTATAGATAGTATGTATGTACTCTGTAGTCTGTAATGTATAGGTATAGGAGGAATGTATGTATCAGAGGAAATTCGCTCCCTACTTAGATATTTCTACCCATCTTCTTTCGGACAGGTATGGTATATAGAGACTAATATGTGGAGATAAGTCTTCCCGTGATAGCCCATACATACATAGGTTATGATTTCCGCTCAACTGATGAATTAGATAGGTATTATCACAGCTGATATGTTTCTTATAAATCCATTCTACCGCCTTTTCTTTGAATAAAATAAACGGGGTATGGTATGTTTCTTGTTAGATGCTAAACATGGGGGAAGGGTATTAGACTCGCGGATTAAGGTATAGTGGGCTGAAAAAAGAAAGGGGGAAAAAAAAAACCAACTCGTAATCGCGCCCGCCGGCCGTCTTGTCAGTTTCCATATATCCGTCCCCTCCCCCAGTACGTACGTCCGTACGTATGTACATGTATGTATGTATGTAAATGATAAAATACCATCCTATATGTACACTACACAAGGCAAATTTCATCTAGCAATGATCCACACCACACATGGAACGTGAGAAAATCCAGCCATCAATAAATGATTAAATAAAAAAGACAACAGAAGAGATATAAAAAATAACAAGGCAAGACAAGCAACGCACACACACACACACACACACATATATATATATATGTTTATATATATATCACCGCTCCAACGCCCCCGGCGAAATCGTCAAGATGACCACCAGACAACTAACCATCAGCGACCCCGCAATGAACGCCACAAGGGCAATGCTGCCCCTGCTCGCGGGGAACTTGCCGCGGATAACCCAGTACTGGCCCTCGAAGTATCTGTGGAAGCCGATCAGGAGGACCACGATGGCAATGCTGAGGAAGGTGGCGCCGAGCGGCTTGCCGAGGCTGCGCATGCGTTTGCCGCTTTGGATGTGTAGGAGGATATCGTTGGCGGCTGTTGAGATGGGGGTTGTGTGGGTTGTTTGCTGCTGGTGGTGGTGGTCGGAGATAAGGTCGGCGGGGAGAGGGGGGGGAAGGATGTATCGGTGTTCGGAGTAGAGGGGGTTGTTTGTGGAGAAAGGGGGTGGGGGTTGTTGTTGTACTTGTGCTTGTGAAGGGTCGAAGAGGAGATGGGCGTTTGATTCTGAGATGGTGCTGTTTAGGCGGAAGAGTTGGGTGACTGCGATGCCGATCGAGGCGAAGGCGAGGGATGTGCGGAGCCAGGCGAGGAATGTGCGTTCTGTGTTGGTTTTTTGGGGGGTGTGGTTAGTTTAGTTTTCTTCCTCTTGTTTTTAAGGATGGATGATGAGATGAGATCCGCAGCTCCCATCACATGGGATGATATATTTACCAAGTGCCAAATGATCTCTTGCGACGCTTCCCTTATTCTCCAGCTCGACACTGCCATATTTTTCCACTATCCGCTTATACTGGCGAGATATGGCTCCTGCTCCTCCTTCTCTTGCATTGCTCGACCCTTGCTCATCAGGTCCATTATCACGCCCGTGCATAGATGCTTTCCGTTGTGGTTGTGGAGTTTGCGCGGGTTGCTGTGAATAATCGCCACCAGCATACTCAGTCGATCGATAATTCCTCTCCGTCCCTCGACCATTGGATGTTGCAATCGGGGTATCTTCGCTTGGAGCGGGAGTAGAGGTAGAAGCCACCTGACGGGTGGAATGGTGACCTGAGCGGGAGGAGGAGAGGGAATCGGAACTGGTGCTCAGAGACCGCTCGTAAGGGTTCTCGTCGCTATGCCGTTTTGTGGCGGAAATCATTTTCCCCGCGCCAGCGACGGGGTCTGGCATTTCATAACCTGGCTTACGGCGGATGGGGATGAGGAAGTGGCTAGGAAGAGAGTCTCAGATATGCGGAGAAGACGTGGTGGAGGCGCGATATCGAGAACTGGGTACTCGGTAAAAGAGAATGAGATGTAGTGTAGCTACACTCTCAGGGACGGATGGGTGAACGGATAACAAACCTCTCTCTCTTCCTCCGCGGATTCGATCCCAAGTAAAACTCCAGGTTAATTAAGTTCGCTCTTCTTTTTTGGTATTTCGTTGCTTTCGCCCTATCAGAGCCAGCAATCCGCCAAACCTCCCAGGTTTGCTGTTGCCAGCTGCAGCTGATCCGAACATCGACAATCGTCATTGGTGAGAACACGTGCTTGGCATTGCCCTAATGCAAGCCCTGGATTTTGGCCAGAGACATTGAGCAACAACAGGTTGAAGGACTACCATGAGGGGCCAAACAGCGCTTTCGAGGTGAGTGTTTGGGTTCTGCGTGGGTTAATTACCGGACTGTGGAGTAAAAACACTGCTCGGGTAAGCTCATAAATGTATCCTGCTATCTTTGTATGTGTATATATACATATATCAATCCTCTCAATTCTGTACGTCGGCGTGAAACAGGGACGCCAGTTGATCACGAGACCACTCGAGCTCCCAGCCCGTCTTATCAACTGGAACAGGGATGAGGAAGTGTGTCGGCTAAGAGCTATAGCCTATCTTATGCATGGGTATATACATAGATAGTTCTTGGTATTTGGGAGTGGCGGGGCTTTTGAACATCTCATATTGAGGAGGGGATTGATTGGTTTTAGAGCATTTAAACGGTATGGAAAACGAGATTTTCGGCAATAGATTATCTCAGTTTTATTTGACTTATGTTCTATATCATTTACTTGCTATACTATAGATATCCTAAATCACCACTCTATCTTAATTATCTCCACCAGCTTTTGAAGGCGCTAACATGTCCCATATATTGCTTCACTACAATTAACTACAGTTTATCTCTCCCATACAAAGCATCCAACTACCAAATGTACTGTAAATAAGTTCCGCGAAAAGAAAGAATACTGTGGAAAGATAATGTGAGCATCATCCAGACACAAGTTTACGCCTTATGGTGCTTAATTGATGCCAGCTGCGAGTCAGGCACAATTATTGGCATCTGGATAGTAGGCAGAGCAAGGACTGGTTTGAGCAGTGTTATTATGAGCACTTAACATTCAAAATTTGCATTGATTAAAATACCAGTATTTCTCCCATGTTAAACAGTGAAAATTCAAGAATGGCAAAGGTTCTTGAGAGCCAATCACCTTCAATTGGTAGAGAGATATGAATAGTTATAACTTTCTTGGCTGAAGACAGAACCTTTACACTTGAAACAGAATTGAATGCTTCAGCTATCTCATATGATGATGGAGATTTTGAGGGGCTGTCTTTGTTTGAGTTGTCTTTTAATGATTGACTAATAATATCTTCAACTTATAGTTAGTTACTGGACAGGGTCATCTGCTAAGCATCATAAACTGAAGTATCAGCAGATGACACACATACACACATCTTCTCACAAGTCACATCTCATCACATCTCATGATGGAACCAGGCAGACAATGGTCATTTCTCAATCTAACATTCAAATTGATCATGCTTATAGTCATGATGAGTATTGTGTCAATATTATATATGTCTTTGTCTTTTCTTCATTTCCTCTTCTCTCTCCTTTTCGCCGAGCATGGAATGACGTAATAGAAATACCACTTGTGTAAAATGCACTAGTCCTGATGGGATTTAGAGGAAGATCAATGCACGGGCCATGCGGAGGCGGCTGGGCTGCTTAGTCACCAGCCTAGTTACAACTCACTCGAGGATTGATCTGAAATGCTCCCGCAAACTGCTTCAAAACGCAGCACACTGTAATCATGGCATCCTCGATATCACAGCAGTCTAACTCGACTTTTCCTCCCGCCGGAAAGATAGACCTCTCAAAAAAGCTCTCAAGACCAGCAGGCAAAGGTCGCCTTCGCGGTCCCCAGTCATCCCAGGAACCCCCGCCTGAGACTCCAGAACTCCCCAAACCAATCAGCCGAAAATCTGTCCAGTACATACATCCAGTATCCCGAATACTATCCCCCGAGGACCATGAAGCATTCCTATCCTCTCCCACATACACCCTAGTTCTCGCATTTATCTTCAACCTGTCCGACAGCGTCAGGTTCAAGCCCATATCCGCTATCGGAAAACTACCCTCGTCGCCCATCGCCCTCAAAATCCTCAATATTCTTTCTTCCATAGAAGCCCTTGTCGAGAAGCACCCATCCCTCGATCAGAATGGCTCCCGATTTGGCAACCCCGCCTTCCGCTCGCTTTTCGATGATGTAGCAGCGCAAAGCCCACATTGGCAGCGGGATATCATCAATACCCTTGATGATAATAATGACGATGATAATGCAGCAGTAGTAGACGAGTTATCGACATATCTAGTGAACTCACTAGGCTCCCGTAGCCGCCTCGACTACGGCTCCGGCCACGAGCTGAATTTCGTCATGTGGCTCCTATGTTTGTACCAGCTAGGTTTACTCGAGCGGGAAGAGTTCCCCATCCTCGTGCTCCGCGTCTTCGTTCGATACATGCACCTCCTGCGCCGGATACAGGCAACTTACTACCTTGAGCCTGCCGGATCACATGGCGTGTGGGGCTTGGACGACTACCATTTCCTTCCTTTCCTGTTTGGCGCTGCCCAGCTCATCGGCCATCCTTACATCACCCCTCTGGGCATCCATAACAAAGCCATCTTGGACGAAGAAGGGGATGACTGGATATACCTGGAACAGGTCCGATGGGTGGACAGCGTGAAAACGGTCAAGGGTCTGCGCTGGCACAGTCCCATGCTCGACGATATCTCCGGCGCCAAGAGTTGGCAAAAGGTCGAGTCGGGTATGAAGAAGATGTTTATCAAGGAGGTTCTGGGGAAGTTGCCGATTATGCAGCATTTCATGTTTGGTGGGCTGATTCCAGCTGTGCCTGGGATGGGGGAGCGGAAGGAGAGTTTGGGACAGTCACTTGGTGATGGGGATGCTCATGGCCATAAGCATGATCACTCAAAAAGGGCAACGGACTACTGGGGTGATTGTTGTGGCATCAAGGTTCCCAGTACAGTTGCTGCTGGGGAAGAAATGCGGAAGAGGATGGGCGGATCTACCCTGCGACCGATCCCCTTTGACTAGAACTAAATTTTATGTATCATTATGACTAATGGGATTTTTTGTTTCCCCCTCTGGTGGTTATCCCTTCAGATCTAGACAACCAACCATGTATGGAATTCACGATAATGCCTCTACACAATGGGCACGATCGTTTCATGAATCCTAAAATACCAACCGTCGTATCATCCCAACCGTAAACCATAAAACGTGACCGAAAACTATCCTCAAACCCATACTTGCTCATCCTAATTCCTTGCATATTCAAAGGAGTAAGTGAGTGGCAATAACAAGATCGACTTATTATGTAATCTCCATAGCTCTCAATCCCCGAAACCACCGTTTCTCGAAACCCATCATCATTGTTCGAATGGATCGATCAACTAACAGCAGTCATCATCAACCCCGCGGATCTTCGCACAGCAAGATTTAAGCTATGTTTCCAGTAGCACGCATACTCGACCGATAGATCCTTGTTTTTTGTACAGCGCACCGCGGACACCTTATAGCCTTACACGGAAAGAAAGATGGCTCCCGCGAGCGAGTACGTCAGCGGCGGTGGGAGGCTGAAGATCAAGGGCGCGCCTGTGCTTGAGGGCCGGGTTGGTAAGAAAGGGACGAAGAAGCGGAGGAAGGAGAAGGAGGGGGAGAGTGGGAGTAATGAAGAGGGGAAGGAGAGGGCGAGGATGAAGGGTGTTGAGGGTGAGGGTGCGGGTCCGGGTGAAGGAGCGAGGATGCCGGCTGGCGATGGCAGTGGTGCTGATGGGAGTGGGAGTGGGAGTGGGAGCAGGAGTGGCAGTAGAAGTCAGAGTCGGGGTGTGAGTGAGGGGGCTGAGAGGGTTGTTGTGGGTAAAACGGAGGCGGAGAGGAGGTATGAGGAGGCGAGGAGGAAGAGGGTATGTTTTATAATACTGTTTCCCCTCGCCCTTCTGTGGTGGTCCGAAATTCATCGTTCTTCGCTCAACATGCTTTCATATTTATATATATGTGTTTTGCTCCCTACGCATTCGAGCTGGTTTTTGCTAACCATCCCTTTCCCAACAGCTCGACGAACGCCTCAAGCGCGAGGGCGTGAAGACACACAAGGAGCGCGTCGAGGAGTTGAATAAGTATCTCAGTAACCTGAGTGAGCATCATGACATGTACGTTCCCTTCAATCCCATTTCCGGAGAACCCCTCTCCCTCCACTACACCACCACCACCCAGCGCCTGTGCCATTGACAGCGGTTCTGGCAATCCCGGAGATGTTGTTTCATTTATTTATCCCTGGAGCCACTGGCTAACCTACCTAACCCACTCCCTTCGCCACCCACAGGCCCCGAATCGGACCAGGTTAATATCCGTATGTTAGCGGATATATACATCTCTATATACCGCTCTGCCTTCGCATACTCTACAAACAAATCCACCCCTTGCGCTCATACCTGCGAGAAGAGGACGCGCGCGCTTCGGGGGGTGTCCCTTTTCTATCGATCCCGCCCCATCTCATCATCCTCTACGCAGAAACGACTGGGGGTCCTTGTTATGCTCTCACGACTGGCCTTCTGAACCCCCGCCGCCCACCGGCTCTACCTATCTCCAGCGGTTCACAGCTCAAACCTCCTTCCTTCCCCATCCTACAGCCCGTTGGGGCTTAGCTATTCCTTTTGCTTTCCTGCGCTGTTACGATACGATACGCCCATATTTCATCTTTGTTTTTTGAAGATATTGTGGCTGGCATATATATGTCTTAGGCGTGGAAACTAGAGGTGTTCTTTGGATTTTTATATTTTTGCTGTGCGTGTATTGGGTTTGGTTTGCTGGGGTGTTTTAAATACGTTGTTGTTTATACCGTTTTATTTTATTTTTTTCTGGGCGTGTTGCGAGATGGTCTAGGGTACGTACCTAAAAGGCAGGAAGTTGACAACTCTATGCAACCGGTATCAAATTTCTACATGGTTCTTTCTGTTATATAGGAATGATATAAAAATGGCTCCAAACATGGAGTAGGATGAGATGAATTGGTTTATATAAGATATTTCGTTGTAGTTGGTAGTAAAGATAGCAACAGGGTAGATAAAAGGGCGCAGGTGGCGAATTTCTCGAAGTAGTATGCCAAAACCGAGGGATAATAAAATAATAAAATTAAAATTAAAATTAAAAAAGGGAGAAAAAGGCTTAAATCAAAAATCCTTGAACAGCTACCGTGACGCCATGCATTTGGTTTCGCGCGAGGAAAAAGAGCAAGGGAGCCAGTAAGCAAACAAAAGTGACGGGGCCAGATGGGGGTCATGAGAAGGGGGTAGAGCCTGAAAGCGGTGCCAAGACGGGAATGCGGGAGAGACGGCCTCATCGGTTCAACTCAGCATGGCGAGTAACATGTTTATCGAGGCACAGTAAAGAGACTCAGAAGTACAGGACCGGGGGACACTTCGGTGACATCCTCCAAGAGATTTGTATAGAATAATGCCGCTCCCGTTGGTTCCGTTTGGAAGGTATGTCGTTTTTTAAAAAAAAATTTAAGACTTTTCTCTTTTTCTTTTTCTTTTTTTCCCCTTCTTTTTGTTTTTTCTTGCTCTGCAGGCTTCCACCCAACGGGACGTACAAGGCAGACTTGTCACAATTTTTCCTCTTTTAACCACCCCAGGACCACCCTCCTAGCGGACTATTTCAGCGCCCCGGCCAAGACGGGGGGATTACCACAGATCAGGAGAAACTCCAGCCGATTGCAATAGTTAACCCGGTCAAGTAGTAGCGGCCAACAAAGACGAAAGAGGGTATCGTCACCAAAAAGAAAAGTTCGTCATGACCTATATCCATGAACAAAAACTAAAAATCGAAATGGACACCAATGAACCAGAACCCCCAACACCGCTCCCAAGATTATACGCCTTTGATAACTGTGGTTCGTTCCGCATTTAGCCGCTCTGCATTGCGTTCATGGCTTTCCTTCTTGCAGTCCTCTAGGCCGCTGCAGGCGTGGGATTCGAGCATGCGATGTTTGCCGCAGAAGTGACCGTTGCAGAAACCGCAATCACCGACGATCCGCTGGGCGAGTTCCTTGCAGTCCTTGAAGTTGCAGCGTGGCTTTCTTGGTGGTGCCATTTTGTCTTTTTTGTCTTCTCTTCTTAAGTTACTGTTCCCACGGAACAGTAGCAAGCTAGGTGGCGAAGGAGTCGGTTTCTAGAGAGGTGTTGGCTCGGTTATGGCTGTGTATCTGACTGCGAAATACGGACGGCGTAGTATATTATTTTCTATTCTTTTTAACGAGTGGTTTCTCCTTTGTTGACAGACGAGATAATGACAGTAAGGAGGTTATGAGTGTATATATATATATATATATATATATATATATATATATATCAGTGTTGAAGCCTTGCAGATCCTGGGAGAGCTATTGGGCGAGATTTTTCATTAGCTGAATTCACTCCTTGGCATGCGATTTGAAACAGTTTGGCAAAGAAGGATATGTAACATACGTCCGGAAGCTGTAAAACCTAGCCTTTACTTAGGTAGGACAAACTAGCTGGTATAGGGATATCGATTGGAGTTTCAAGAGCTTGAGGCAGCTCCTCGTTCGGATGAGGACGTAGGGAGTTGCGGGAGAGTAGTCTGTGAGAACAAGGAGAGGTAAGGATCAACACAGCGCAGATATATGGCAGTAACCCGGAGTAAGAATAATATAGGAGAGCGAGCAGCAGCTGTCGATATATATCCAGGAAACTGTTTGAGGAGCAAGGGAAGAAGACACAAAGAGAAGAAGATGAAGCTGATGAGCTGGCAGCAGCGGATCGGTTGGCTGTTAAATAGCACGCAAGCCAAGCTCGGAGTGGAGCCGCAGTGGCTCAGAAGTTTCGAGACTTGCCCAGGTATTCCCTTCCGGCTGCTGAGTCGCCCCCAAGTACCTGCTCGCCCACGCACCACCAAGGAGATACCTGGAAGTACACGTAGGCCTATCTCGTGATACTTGTTTGGGTGATGTTGGGCGGCGGTACTTTTTTTCGCCGGCTCACGACAGCCACTGGGGAGCAAGGGAGCAGCGAGCATAACCAAAGAAACTCCAAAACCAAAATAGAAAAAGTTCAACAAAGCGGGAAAAAAAAAAACTCACATGTACCGAAAAACAGACCGTGTGGCAATATGCCCGGTTATGGTATTGTATTTGCTTTTTGCTCTGGGTTTGGAGGAGACGAGGACCGAAGAGGAAGAAAAAAGGAATAAAACACAGGAAGAGAGAGGATGGACAGATGGCGAGATCTGTCAGCTATTTTATTATTTCAATCCGGGGAAATGCACTTATTTAATATTCAACTAACTAGTTAACCGGCCAACTCACTCATCGCTCATCACTCATCACTCACAGGTGGTACTGTGCCTAGTTACATCTTGGCCAGCCCGCCCCCGTTCGTTCATGGCACAACGCAGCAGCCGGATATCCCACGCCAGGCACTTCACTACTAGGCTAGGAGCTAGTCGTTGTAACTCTTCATACCAAGTGCCAGTCCCTTCCAATACGTCAGCGGGCATCAAGTCACCGCTTACGGAGTACCGTGATCCTGATCACAAACGACGTTGGACGGGGCGGGCCAGTGAGGCGGCCACCTGGTGGCCATACTATACAGTCTACGGCGCATACCTTTCCCTGGTCAATGGCCGGCAAAGCATTTTAGGCTGGGCTTGAAGAAGTTATTATTATATGGCCATGGTAGGTCGATGTGCCAGTTACTTGTCGATCGTTGTATTTGTAAGATCCTGCATGTACATGTACCTCTTGTACCTGTGCCTGTGCCTGTGCTAGGTTACTACTCCCAACCTTCCTCATATTTCTCTACGGAGTACAGCTTGCGAGAGCGGAATATACTGATGTGGTCGGCAGGCCGCTGCTGGAAAGAAATCCAGGGTGGTGATGACACAGTCTACCTTTCTTCCGCCTTATTTCCCTTTTTTAACATTTGTTTACTCTTCTTTATAATAACTATTATTATTACTCATTTCTACGGAGCAACCAGGGGGAGACAATAATAATTCCTTGCTTTGCTCTCACCGAAAGCGTGAACTCTCAAATGAGGCAATGAGGTCACATCAATCGCCCGCAAAAAGAAAAGCCACTGGCCAAGGCTTTAAAAAGCTGATTATTATCGTGCGGAACTCCGCCTTTGCCACCAGCGAAAAATTAAAATACAGCGTAAATGGCTTTGAGGCCCTTGTCTCGAAAATATGCAGGTGATGCAGGCGGATCTTGTTTTAGACTGTAGTTAAAGGCAACTAATTCATTAAGTTAACTAACTAGTTGGCTACTGACTAATTAGCCAATGGTTCTGCCCATACTTGCTCCTGCTTTTTTGGCTATGAAGCCGAGGTTTTAGGCGCTATTTCGGTGTTTCTTTGGAGGGTTGGGGGGGGATGGGGGATGGGGGATTGGGGGGTTGGTTGGTGTGTTTCTTTGAGCGGCCGTTTGATATTCCAAATACTCCATCTCCTTTGTGGTTGAATTTTTTTTTTTTTTTCGACGCACAAGTATTGGGAACCTGCACGGCTGCGACGGATAATAGGCATTTTACCTACTTATCTTGATGCAATGTTTGCTCTTGGTTGGTCTCGTCAAAAGAAGCCATACTTTATCATTCGAGGAGAAGGGTCATTCAAACAAAAAGAAACAAGTGGCCATGCACCTGTTTTACTTCAGTACAGTTCTAAAATATACCCGGCCTATTTATAAATCCCATGGAAGAGCATGGCTATGGTTTTGGGCGGAGGATAGACATGGACAGCTTTTGAAGGTCAAGAAGGGATGGACTTATTGGCGTGCCATCTCTAGAAATCATAAAACTCTTCTCTTCTCAGCGAGCCCTAAAGCTTTTGGAGCGAGAGATATCAGATCGACCCTGATGCCCTCAGCGTAACCCTCGCCTCAGCGCGTGGTTGTGGATGAGCACGAGGGATGAGTAGATCCATGCAAAGTACTTGGTGTATTCTTCCCCCCCATCACAGACCATGATTAAAGAAGCCAGTAGAGTTAATTACCTAGCTCAATCGCCCTCGTTGCTTCACTGAAATGTATGAGATGCTCGACCTGAGTTTGATAGTGACAATAATATTAATATGAGCAGCAGTGAACAGGGAAAAATTCATCCCCCCTGGCCTCTGCCGCATTCTCACAGAGGGTCACAAGGCTCTGCACTCATTGAACCGTTATGAGTGATATGAGTTGGGTAAATAGAGCACATGCGTGGAAAAGGTAATATCTCATATGTAATGCAGAAGTTAGATATTTATTTACCCAGCGGCGGAGAAGGACTGGTGGAGATCTGCCGGAGAACAACAGCCAGAGATATACACGGATTATGCACCATCAAGCTATATACGCAACCACCCCACACGTACGGCTTTTGCGTTCTTATCAGCACACCAGGCATTTCAGTTCGAGGAAGTCCGACTCCTGTGTTCCATGGCGGCAAACATATGGATTGGTATAAACTCGAAACAAGGCGAACCGTTTCAACAACCCCTGATTGTTTTTTTTTATGGCCCGTCAGAACATTACCCGTAGGGGACCGCAGGACTGATCAATCTGGTCGAAAGTCGATACAACTTTCAATTGCGGTTTGGCATGGAATCGAGATAGTTCAACTTCAAAATCCCGCTGCCGGTGTTGGGGCAATCTCGAGCTTATCTAAGCTCCAGCTCCGCGCCGTGGCGGGATAGATATAGTTATTTATGGATGGATGGATGCAAGGTTCGCATCCACTTCGAATAGGGCTCGCTTGCGCTATATATCCATAGCGATATTATCACCATAATAACTATGTCTCGAAGGCGGGAGTCTTCACTGTCGCCTATTCCTCCTATCTGTTGCTGTAACTCCTAGGTAATCTTCACGCCTCAGGCGCAGCTCTCTCCAAGCTCTTTACTCGGATTCTTCTTAACCCGGTTTCCGAAATGCCTTTGAACCAGGATAAGAAAAATGGGAGTACGAAGACAGACGGGGACGGCCACCCCAAACCGGGTGGAGCAGAGTCCTCCATCTTAGGACTTTTTGCGCATTCACCCGCATGAGAATGATGTGCCTGAGGACAAAAGCCCAAACAACGTGAATTGACCCCCCCGGGCCATAAACACAAGAAAAGGAGCTAATAGGTCTGATCATAATGGAATGCAAAAACCTCTACGAGCCCAGGAGCTCCCATCCGGACATCCCGATAACCCTCACAGCGTTTCCGCACCGATTTCATCTGTGTCGAAGCCAGGTGTTCCTGGTGACGTCCAGGAGGAATATCAATCGGCAACCAATCTGCACGAGAGGAAGGGTGCCACCGACTCCCTGTCCGAAGATGAGTTGAAATACCTCTTTTTTGGAGCACCGCATTTTCTGCTGGAGAAGGGTCACTGCTCATGGTGGTATCCTCATGTCATTTTCCCTTGGGATTATAGCTCGAGAATTCGAAACCTCGCAGACCGAAGGGCACTGCAGCACCCTTCTTTCATGCCCTCGACACTCCATGCTCATATCCCAGTAACTTCAAATGGTGCGGGAATACAAATATATCCGGATGCCCTAACTGAAAGGCATGGTTCCAGACCGCCCTCGTTTGACATTGGCGTGTTCGAAATTCCAAACATGGATTCATCAAGGGCAAAAGAGGCTGGCTGCATTGGATCCCGTAATTTCATTGGAGCTACCGATTGCGTAAGAGCCCAAGATCGCTGCACAGCCGTTTCAACCACGTCCCCTGGATGCACATTTGCAGATCGCACCTGGGCCGCGCGGAAAAGATGATCCATACACCGATTATCGGCCAAATATTACCCTTGAGCGTTTGAAATTAGTCGCGGCAGGCCCTTCGGCATGGAATCGTATTGGGGTGCGCAATTGCTCCATGAAGACCATCACGGAGAGGCTCTAAACGTTATCGGATATGCACGACCAAGTCACGCTCAAGGAGACCGTTGCGGACCTCCATCGTCAACTCTTCAGCACGTTTTTATATCCCCCACCCGATATAGTACATGCGGAACACCATGATAGCTTTCGGTTCCAGATCAGCACGTTGATGCAAGTGCTCAATATTAAGGGTGCCTAGGTAGATTTTAGTTTGACAGAATGGAGAACCCGCGTAGGTCAAATCCTCTGGGAGTTGCCTCCGCACCAGGACGGCGATTGCCTGAATAATAATCCCTTAGATGGGAAGAATCCAGACACATCACTCGAACGGAAGTGGCTTTTAATACAGCTTATTTTATCTGCTGGGGTTTTATTCCGCGCGGATGCCGCCGCGAAAATTGGGATTTACAGCCAGTCTAAGGATTCGCCTATCACTTCACGGGACGTTTACTTGATGAATAGTTTGCGATCAGATATGTTGGACTGGGGGTTAATCTTCAGCCGTCGCATTTTCGAAAATATCTCCTTCCACTATTTTGAATGTAGCTGACAATCAGTTTATTACATTCGCTCGAACCTGCAGCAGTTTGACAGTCCCAGAGCACCACCAATTCGCGCTGGATGGCGGCGTACTATTACACGTTTTATGCTCCAAGCTCTTTGTGATCAACTTCTAGAGAAACCATGTCTTTATCTAGATGAGATGGCTCTCTTCCTATGGGATTAGTTCCACATCTGTGTGCCAAAGTGCAATATTAGCAGGGCTTTAAGATCTGTTGGTTGATCGAAAAAGTTAGCACGGCAAAAAGCAAAAGAGCGCAATCCTGACCTGCGAGATGCACACTTCTCCAGATGGCCATATGGGGCGCCCGTTCCGTTTCATGATCGTCGAGTCCGGCTTCTCCGGGGAATGACGGGCTTCCCGAATTTTCCAATCGGTCTTCGAGTCCACATATCCATGGCTGGCAACATATATTCCTTTGGCTAGCATATCTTCATCCTTGAAGCATAGAGTCAGGTGCTCGCCCTTTGGGTCTTTTTGATATTTGCCATCGATTGTGGTTGTTGGGTGAATGCCCGAGCTGACAGTTTATTGAAAGTTAGTGTATGCCTTGATGAAAATTCTTGTCTGCTTGGTCTCAATAATGTCACCGAATGAGGATGGCCTTTGGATATAACTTTTGGTCCGTCGCCGTCTGATATGCGATAGTTATGTATTGTCTGATAGTTTGGGCGCTAGGTTGATTCAAGAAACGAAACTTGACTGCATTCAAGGTCGACATGATGAAGGCGAAGAGTGGAATATCAAGAGCAGTGTCAGGTGAAGTAGGATTTCGCTGCTTATTGTCCGTATCAGAGGCGACATGGCCTACATAAATATACCCCGACTCACCATCACAACCGGTTCACTGGCACACTTCTTCCCATGGCCCTTGTTCAGTTCCCGCAGTGAACCATGCTATCGATGTTTCCATCTCCAAGCGATGTATCATCAGGCCTACATGCACCGTCACACCTCTTAAGACTCGCATGTGATGATCCATATCCCTGCCTCTGAAGCCTGCCAAAATCTAAGCTCAGGGCGCTTAGGCATTTCTTGAGGCTGCGGGGGTATCATGGATCAATTGGACCTGAGCGCGCACTTGGGTGCATGGCAAATCCTCTGTGCAGCTGATTTCAGTCATCCAGGGACGGACCTGGAGCCCACTAATAAGACGCCTCCACAACATTCACAATAATAATCTGGAAGAGAACCTCTGACATTCCAGCTTTACCTGTTGAAGTATCGGATTATTGTTGTTCCTCGTCGGGTAACTAACTAGTTAACTAGTTAACTACGAACAACCCATCAACTCACCCGTCATCGTCACACATTACCCACGCGACATGGCCAATCGAGCTAGCAACGCTCTTTTGCAATTTCATAGCATTAGACCATTTATACCCGGTTCGCCTTTCCGCCACGCACAGCCCTCCATTTCACCCATACACAGAAGTATGGCAACAAACATGGAACCCAGCAAAGTCCAGTACAGATATGTGGAAGAAGTTGAGCGCTTGGACTATTATGTTCCAGGAGGTTATCATCCAGTCATGATTGGTGATGAACTCTGTGCGGGTCGATATGTTATCGCTCATAAACTCGGGTTCGGTCGGTCTGCCACAACCTGGCTGGCAGAGGATAGAAGGCAAAGCCGACTCGTTGCTCTCAAGATTTCTACTGCAGAATCAGCTGAGCGAACCCATGAGATACAGATTCTTTCACAGTTAGCTAGGGCTAAAACCAAGCTCCCTGGGAAGGCTATTGTACAGAACCTGCTCGATTCTTTCACATTCTCTGGGCCAAATGGTAGGCATCAGTGCTTGGTCATGGACGCTGCTAGAATCAGTATTCATGAAGCGAAGGATGCTGCATATCACCGACTCCTCCATCTTCCTGCCGCCCGAGCCATCGCATCACAGCTGATACTTGGTCTGCAATTTATCCATTCTCAAGGCATTGTTCATGGAGGTATGTCCAATATGCTACAATCCCTTCTTGTTACTTGACCTCAATCTAAACATGGCTGCAGATCTTCACCTTGCAAATATTCTCCTTTGCTTGCCATTTGATATGCAAGACATGACTCTTGAGCAGCTGCATGCTAGAACCGGTGAACCAGCAAAAGAGCAGGTTGTTCGTGAAGATGGTGCTTCTCTTGATCTGGGAGTTCCTTCAGAAGTCATTGTCCCAGTTTGGCTTGGGCTTGGTAGTGATGAGATTTCTCTAGCAGACTCTGCAATTATGATTGTAGACTTTGGAGAAGCATTTGATACTCAAGTGACACAGCAGTTCACTGCTCATACACCACTCTTGCTTGCACCACCAGAAGCACACTTCGCAGAGTCTGTAGAATCAGATGAGCCTCTTTCTTTCCCAGGAGATATATGGACGCTTGCATGCACTATCTGGGATATTTTTGGATCCGGCCCCCCCTTTGAAGCCTTTCCTGTCACATTGGATGAGGTTACAATTGAGCATGTTGAGATGCTTGGTAAGCTTCCTGATCGGTGGTGGAGCAAGTGGGAGAAAAGAAGTAATTGGTTTGATGAAGATGGACACAAAAATGTGAAAGAAACCCTTCGTCAGTGGTACAGCAACAGCACCAGGAACTGGACCCAGCGATACACAGAATATATACAGAACCCAAGAGAGAGGATGAGGTTTGATACCTTTTCAGCAGAGGAGAAAGATGCGTTCTGTGACATGATGAAGTCGATGTTGGTCTTGGAGCCAAGCAAAAGAGCCACAATTGAGAATGTAGTAGGATGTGAGTGGATGCAAAGATGGGGTCTGTTAGAGGTGCAGAGAATGTGGGAGACAACACTAAAGAGCTCTTAAATTGCTGCTTGGTCCTCAAGATACCCCTTTTGTTGATTTAAAAGGAGTTGTGGTTAAAACATTCATCAGAGTTGTAACATTTAATATTTAAAATATACATCCTCACTTGACCTGAATGAAGAATCCCGCTCTGTCCACGGATGGAGGTACATGTAGAGATCACCAGTTATCTTCCATATTCTTCTCAAAGATAGTGTGTTCTCATTCTCCTGGAGTTCTTTCACCACCAAGATAATCAGACTTTTCCTCTTCTGTGTACTTCCTAACGAGGTATCGCTAGCGTCCGTCTGTTCAATATTAACCTATTGGCAGCCATTCTCAATGCCACTCGGGGTACGTACTGTTTTCAACCTAGTGAGAATCTATCTTCTCGACGATGGCACATACTAGAATTGTATTGAGCGTAGAGATATGCCTCACCAATGTACTGTTCTGTCTTACTGAGTGGTTACAATTCAAGATTTTCTAATGCATACGGCCTTCCATCGTGCGATCCACCATCATCCATCAGGGGAAAAACAATCAACATCCCCCAAGTGTTTCAGTGTTCAAGTGTGTGTGTGGTGTTTCCTATGTGTTCAATTAAGTGATTATTCTTGTGTGTATTTCTATTCTTGTGGTTCTTATTTGTGTGGTTATTATTATCGTGGTTCGGCTGCTCCTGTTCTTGTGCCGCCAGAAGCACACACCCCCCGTCTCCCATTAACTAGAAGTAGAGAGTGGAAGTGATAGGGGAGGCTACACGGCGGTAGAGGCGGTGGTGGTGGCAGAGGGGGTAGAGGGTGGTAAGGGGGGTGTAGGGGATGGAAGTGGTAGGGGGGGCTACGGGGCGGTAGGGGCGGTGGTGGTGGTAGAGGGGGTAGGGGATGGAAGGGGTGGAAGGGGTGGAAGGGGTGGAAGGGGTGGAAGGGGTGGAAGGGGTGGAAGGGGTGGAAGGGGTGGAAGGGGTGGTAAGGGGAGGGTAGGGGTAGGGGGTGGAAGTGGTAGGGGGGGCGGTAGGGGCGGTAGGGGTAGAGGCCCCGAGGGTGGAAGTGGTAGAGGGGGTTGCGCAAGCAGCAAAGCGAGCGTAAGCGAGCGTTTGATGCTTGTATAATAATAATTATTATATTTACCAATTCTTCTTATAGAATACTTGTGAGCCGGCTATAACAAATGAATATTCTAGATTAGGCAGATATTTACCCAGTCCCAATGTCTCGCCAACCCGGTTTTTCGGGTTGAATAACTTTTTTCCTTACCCGAGAACCCAACCCGTTCTTTCAGGCAAACTACCCACCACTTTTTCAACCCAACCCACGAAAATAACAACACTAGATTTCAGCAGGCATATAATCATTCTTGAGAAGGTGTACAATCTTGTTGATGATGAAATCACTAAGTTGAGGTGGCATATTGATATGTATTGGATGATAATTGAATGATTCTAGAGAAATGTGGTTTTTTTTTGATTTTTTTGCAGTGTTTTGCTACGAATTTTCAGGGGGGTGCTGGCACTATTTTGTCCCTTCAACGCTCGCAAGACCCTTTTATTCTCGCACGCCCTCGTAAGGCCATCGCCTCCCTAACTGTCACGCTCACACCTACCCACTCAGACTCTCCCCAAATATCGCTGGGCAGAAATTACAACGTGTCTTTCATAGCGGCGTCCCACCTCGCGGTTCCATCGCAGGCTCGAGCGTGTCCTGTTCCGAAGCGCATGGTACCCATCACCCTCATCCTCACCATCGCCATCATCACCACCATCGTAACTCGCCTGGTCAACAAGTAAAAGACCACCACCTGGGGTCACAGGAAAATGGGGCCGTAAGGAATGGCAAGCTACCCCACCGCTCCCGCCTCCCAGGCCACCCACTCCATACATTCTCGTTCCCATACAGTTATATCCCAATCCACACATTACCCTCAACTCCTAGCCCGCGAACCATACCAGACCACCAGGGATCCCATGCCTCTTCGTTCCCGACTAACTATCTGCCGCTCGCGAATGACCGCAGCCGAAAGCGGAAGGACACCTATATCATCGACGCGCGGGGCAGTGAACATAAGGAGCTATTTGCTCGTTCGTGATGTGCAATGGTTGGTGTAAATGCAGGAGTGGGCCGAGTTGGTCGGACGTGTATAGCCTGCTCTATTCGAGAGGCGAGGGCGGTAGATGTTCCTGTCGTCATTCGCGTGGGAGCCGTGGCATGAAGTGGTCGGTCGACATTTATCATCATTTGGATATCTGGATTGTGTACGTGGGCTGTTTTTCATACGGTTTCACTAGCATTCTCAGCTCGCTTTTTTCCCGAGCGAACCGACATTTTCCCAGTGAGTGAAAGGTTAAAAGGTAACAAGGGTTAGGTAAGGAAAAGTGAGCGAACTTTTGTATAGTTATATGTGCAATGCATGCCACAATGGTGATGGTGTATCGGGGTTTGGCACAGTCATTCGTGCGGGCTATCGACTCTAGGTATGTTGGTGTTTCTCTTCTTTTATCCCTCTCCACCACATATATTTCTCTCTGCCTTGAACCCATTTGATTCTGTGGGCATACTTTTGGCGTCCATCTATAACAATTGTATTTTATTTGATGGTACAGTATGGGTAGGCTCGCCTACCTGGCGGCTTTTGTAATATATGAAAAGTCGGCGTTCTTTATACTTCTGAATTTTATGGATTATAAGCTCTTATCATTGTTACAAAGAAATGAGACATTATATTAATAGAAACTTGAATGGAAAAAGTTTGAAGCCTTACCGTGGGAAAAGATGTGTGAGCAGAGGAATATTCACGTCATCTTGAATGATGGAGCTACGATAATCCCTTCGGCTACCCACCTCCCCTTGCTACTTCTAGAGTCGAAGGCCCTTGACGTTCTTGTCATACAGGCTAAAAAGTCCAAAGCGTACGTAAAGCAGCTTGGATAGGTTGGAGGCGAATTCTTTCTTCGGCTTTGTGACGAATTTCCTCTTGATTCCAACTTGAGGCGCTAAATTCAATACGTGGTTATCACGACCTTTATATTGAGTGAGGGCCTACGGCATGGAGGCGACGCCGGAATCGATGATGAAGCGAAAAGCGATAAAGGAGTCAAAGAACATACAAATTGATGCGAAGAGCGTAGGCTTGAGCGAGGGCTGGCGCTTTGATACTGATTCGAAATAAAGCTTTGTATTCTGTTTGTTTTCTCATTCACCAAGTTCGTTTCGATGCACGAAGCTGGCTCAACCCAGTATAACAAAGAATGGTAACGAAAAAAAAAAAAATCACAATGGATATCAAGGTGAATGGAATTATCTCCATTACCTCGATTGTTTCAAGTATCTCCTTGAAGAACTACGAAGCTCTCTTTATCATAGACAAAGAGTATCTATTGCTAAACTCATCTACTTAAACACCACAGGATATTCCAAAGGAAGAAGGAAAAAAGGGGGGGAAAGAATATGAATAAAATAAGTAGCAAACTACATACCAAATTCATATACCCCTTTGATGGGGATAAAAAAAAAAAGAAAACAACTAACCAAGCTCTGGAAAACCATGGAATCAAATCTTCCCTCAGCGCCCCCTTCATCACCATACAAAAGCGCGCCAATAGAATATCTCCCCACAGAGATCAAAATCGAGATATTAAGTCAGCTCCCCGATCTCGCGTCGCTCCGCGATTTGGTCAAGGCATCTCCCCATTTCCACAGCGTCTACCTGTTTGACCGTAGGCGAATTTTACGCCATTTACTAGCTCGGACGACGCCGCGGCCCATTTTCCTCGAGGTGCTTTCACTAGCGGCATTGCGTCGGGCGGCTGATTGTGATTCTCTGCCGCTGAAGGACGAGGTGAAGATCCTGGGTCTCGCCAAGGGGTTTCTGAATACATATGATGAGTTACGTGGGTTGTCGCAGGAGTTTGTTGAGAATGTTCGTGAGACGACGCAAAAGGTCGGTGCAGATGTGGAAGTTGAGGAAAAGGAGGAAGTAGAGAAAAGGAGCATTAATGGGGTGACCTTCACATATTCAAAGGGTGACGGGTTATCAGCTCAGTTCGCCGCGTTGTTGTTGGATGAACTTCTCGCCGTCGTTCGACAACACTTTATTGTACGCGCGATGACAGAAGACATTGTGCGTTCTTGTCTGAGACTCAACCCTTTTACGGGAAAAAGGCATCGTGGTAAGAGCAATGACCATGAGAGCGGCAGCGGTGGTGGTAGCGATGATGGGATCCTCCCACTCTCCAGAAGCGAAACATGCCGCATTTACCGGGCTTTGTACCGCTTAGAATTACTGGCAGTCATGCACACGCGCTGGGGGGTGCGCTATCCAAACCATCACATCGCATTCCTCAACTTCTTATCGCCGTGGGAGATAGAAGAGATCCACTGTATCAGGAATTACATGTACCAAATATTCCTCACGAGCAGTTCGGAAACGAGCGCCTCTTCCAATAACAGCGTACTCGATTGTCAGGTACGAGTGATAAATAGTAATAAAGCCAGATGTGAAAGGAGAGGAAGAGCCAGTGGCGTTGGTATTGGCATTGGCGGACCAGACGTGGACGACGGTATGTTCTCACAGCCCCTAGTCGTGCATTTCTGAGCTAACGGGAAGGGATTCATTTCTAGATGTCTATTTTGACCTCGCTGTCGACGACCAGCGAGAACAATACCTGGCTCGCGGTCTCGAATTTCTCTGGCGATGGTTCCAAGCATCTGATCAGTATGAATCCAGCCCAGTTACGAAGCACATCACAAGCACAGACGTAAACAACAGTCTAATGGACCCGTCGCAACACCGTAAGATTAATCCCAGCATCTCCGCAATCGAGAGTAACCCAACAAGTGCTTCATTTTTCCTAACTCGGGCCCTGAATCCGAATATTGTGGGGGTTTTCCGCCCTGTCAGAGCGTCAGAGACGTTTACCTCCGATGCAGATTGGTCAAGGCCGAATTTGGGCTGGGCGTGGTTGCACAAGAAGAACTCGAAGTATTTGTGCCAGATGCATAATTGCTATAATAGGAAATGGGGATACGTGTTTTGGGACCAGAAGAGGTTGACGCAGATGGGGATGACGGAGGAGATGAGAATGGAGTATGCGCCGTTTGTTGATTGATAATTTGCTGGTGAGAGTTAACTTGAAGTAGCTAATTTGCTGACCCATTGTTTTTCTGGCGTTGGGCGGTGGGCGTGTAGGGCTTTGTTCTTCTGGTGAGTCAGTTGGGAAGGAATATATCTGTCTATATATATATATGAACAAGCGTGGGTCGGTAGTAATATCTAATGTTTAGATTCATTTTTCAAAAGATGCCAGTTTTCTGGTTCGCATGTAGGCTTTTCCATCACAGCGTTTCCATCTCGGAGTAGGAAGCATTAGCAGCGATTAGCAAAGATGCTTAGTGCTACCCATAGCTATATAGTTCATAATATATAAAGAAAGCTCTCGTAGAAGCATTTTGAACAGTCAATTAGAAAAATTAAGCGGATATTTTCGTTTGTCGAGATAATGGCTGGTGCAAGACTCCAGAGCTGCTTTTCGAGGCTACTACCAGGTCACGTAATGAGCTAGGAGAGGTGGCTGTGAGAACGAACCGTTACCTAAGTTATACTTTCGTGAGACGACCCGAAGCCTTGGATGAAATTTCATGAACTGCTAATTGCATGTTGCGGCTGAGAAAACAACATACCACATCCCCTCAAGAAACCAATACCCTACCATACCTAATCCACCCAACTACACCTCCAACTCCTCAGACAGCCTCAATACCGCAATCTTCTCCTTAAGCTCCTCCCACATATCCACTCTTTCGCTCTCTCTTCCCCTACCTCTTTCTGCAAAAGTCCGATCTAGCAACTCCTTCGCACCATACCAAAACCCCTGAGCTCCTTTGCCTTCATGTTGATGCCAATCTGGGATCCCCAGGACGGTCCGACAACCCTCACAGAGGCCAAAAATCCGCGCCCATTCAGCCGCACTCTCACGTAAAGGCATTAGATTGCGACATCGCCGGCAATAGACGGCTTCTCCCCATGAAAACGACAGTGTAATGCCCGGCTCCCATTTGCGGAGACGCAGTGCACAACTGACACAAAAACGTTTTGCGGCATCTGCATGCCCCTTTCCACGGCGTCGGGTCGTTTGTGTGCTAGAGAATGAGTGTATGGGTAGATAGCGGAGACAGCTGTAGCAGGTCAAGCGTTGTGGGGAAGTGGATCGGCCGTCGTCACCGATGCTAATAGAGGGGAATTCTGATGTGGCGCTGGTTGCAGCGTCCACAACTTCTTTCGTCTCGGCGCGCACGAGATCAGCTACATAGTCGCGTCTAATGCGGGCCACCTCTATGTCTGATGGTAGATTGCGGAAATAGCTGTTTGTAGCGCGGAGCATCTGTAGATCGCGAAAGTTGAGCCACGACATGAGCTGTAGATGTATTTCGCTAGGGAGATCGAGAAGGGTGGGGGAACCACGGCCTTCAAGTTCGGGATGTCCCTCTTGCGACTGACCTTGGGCCTGGGGCTGGGTCTGCGCACAGCCGGACTTGCTGGCTACCAGAGCAGCCCTGGAGGGTAAGATATTGTTACGGTTCATATCGCCCTAAATTGATGGCTGGTGGCGCGTCTCTTCGAGAAATATGATGGGCGATAATATATCACTTTTTATCGATGGAGTTTAGAGTACCATGCTTCACATTTCTATCGCAGAAATAGGGAATGCTAGCACTTGTGTCCTCTCGAGGATATCCTCAACAGTACCATCAACTCGTGGGAGCATAGTTATTTCAGTATTTAAACAGCTTGTTCCAGATCCAAAGAAAGCGACTACATAAGTAGTTATAAACTCATATCTTTCCAGGAAAACGATCCATATTACACTTGCTGCTCCCAACGTACGGTCACTCATGCACGAAAGTAAAGATGACGACAGCTGCGGTATTGGTGGTAAGTGAAGGATGAGGTTGAGGCTCACCGGCAAAATGTTTGTGAGTTGCCGAGCCCCAAACCTTATTTCGGCGCCACGTGGCCGCTAAACCTGAACAAGTTAAATGATGACAACCTTCCAAGGTGGTTGGAACTTGTTTCGCTGTATCTAGCTCTACAGCCTCATGTTATTATTTAAATAATTTTTAAATCAAATGCCTGTCATCACAAAATTGCCTCATCTTTGAGGACTTTCCACTATCATAGAACCCATGGAAAAAACTAACCTCTAGGCTTGAGAAATAATAGGATAGCATATGTGGCAGCTTAACCTGTTGGAGAAGGTGATTGGTTGTATAATATTAATATTAATTCTCTATCTAGGAGCGGCATTGTGTGTGGGTCACGGGGGTTAGGGCTTGGGTAGGACCTTCAACACTACACCATCCCAGCCGCCACATACGCCATATTTTCGGTTGTTTTTATATCTGTATGTAGGCCATGAACTTCTAAAAAGTAAGACTATAAACATCAATATTTGTATCTCTCAGGGCTAGTTACACGTTTATCCTAACAAATTTATTAGTCATCTCTTGAATGAGCGTCTCTCTCATGACACATCAACCACGCTCGGCGGGCTGGGCACCCCGCTAACCGCATAAGATACTAGCTAGTTATTTTATCAGAGAAATTCTGAGAATTAATAGTTCTCAACTAGATATTATAGCCTCTGACTATATACATCTATAATTGAAGAAGAAGAAGAATAATAATAACATCTTCACTGAGATGGCAGCCACCACAATTATGCAATTGTGTAAAAAAAGAGGCAGAGACAAGAGGGTTTACTGTTGGATTCTAGAACTTTATTCTTCCCTATTCACTTCAGGTCCCCGGATATAGTAATATTGAAAGTATATCTAGTCAGCCCCTTCATCGTTGGTCGGTTGATGCCGGTTTTGGTCTTGCCTAGTCTCCTATCCCAAGCCACTTGGGGGCTAATCAACAAGGTCTAGGTACCTACCTGTTGTCTTCAATATTAAATAAAAGTATGTGCTCTGTGTGGGAGCATATATTTCAATTCCAATCCCGCCCATTTTATAAGCCCTCCCGTCTCACGGAAGGCGGTGAACATAAGAATAATATCAAACATGTAATCAACCACACAGGCCAGCCTTACCAGCGCCACTATGCACCTAGGCTTTTGCCAAGAGCAGCACATGCTTGCGAAAACGCCTCGCCGGATGCACCGAAGGCCTTCCCCAGACAAGGATTGGGGAAGCCTGGTTGAGGGGAGCACAAAAATGACGCTGCTTATTTGTCACTGGCTCCTCCGATTCTTCTGGTGGGACGCCACCGAATGTTAGAACCTCCAACCCCGGTCTTTGGCCGTCGTTTGTCCATTTTCCAAAGCTTTTCGCGACTTGTTCTATATTATTAATAATTCTCCTGCAATTGCATGAGATGGAGGAGACTTGAAGGAAGAATATTGACTGTTTATCAGAGTAAAAAAAAAGTGGTCTGCAGGGTAGAAATAACTGAGTTTAAAAGGCCTCGTCAATAATTTGAAATTGGATTCCATTATTAGATATATTTCAGACACCGATGAGTGGAGAATAAAGTGTATTAAGCTCAGCCTGGGATCAAGTAATTAGCATAGACTGTTTAGTCAAATAGAGACCTGTTGTTGACTAGTATTCTTCTTCTTCTCCTTCTTCTATTTCAGTCAGAGCAGAAACTATGCATTAAGAGTGATGAGACTCTCACCAGCATTTTAGTCTAAGAGCAGAATTTAATTATTTTCAATCACTTATCTAATTACTCTCACTGAGATGTATACAGATTTTAAACAGTCTTGTATTAATTATATGATTTTCAAAATCTGATTAAACCTGAGTGAATACAAAGATAATATTTATGTAGTATAATTTAATATTATTCCGTCTATTAATTATATCTATAGGGGAAAATCTAGTGAAAATCATGTTCTTTTAATCTCTTGATTAACTCTAGTCAAGAACTGAAATCATATGATGAAGACAAGATTTGAAGCTGCAACCCTGGTATCTCAGAAGGGTCATTCCTCATAGCCAGTTTCTACTTACCATGGGCCTTGCGCGTTTACCACTATGCTATCCACCTCACCCCGTTGTTGGCTTTTAAGGGCAATCGTCAGTAGATGATTACTAGACATCCAATAATATCATTCACGGGTCGAAGAAAGCCCATATCACTGGCTAGTATCGTCTCGAGAGGTACAGATAAGTAAGTATGGCCCAATGACTGGGTTTATATCCAATATCCTTAGAGTCAATGGATGAAAACGGCAGTGCAGAGCTTACTCTGTAAGTAGAGGCTCTTTCGGATTCCTATATTACCCGGAGCCCGTATTCTGCAATACGGTAACTACCACAGCGTTGTATGGTAGTTATGGGTGGTTGGTTTTAATAATAATATATTCAGCCGGCCCCAAGACCAACCTCTATAGTTTCGATTCACAACCACTATCAAATTGTTGTCTTCAGAACAACTAAATTAGTTCTGTTATTTCCCCATGGGGTGGACCAACTGGCCGCTAAAAACTACATTTCATAGTTGCTCAAGTACAGCTTATGATTCCCAATAATGACAAGATGTGTGGTTGGAACTTTCCACACTGACGCTAGCCGACCTCGGCACCCAGACGGATGGCACAGTGCCTAGGTAGCCTCGCACTGACCAAACATACGGGAGGTGGAAACACGCGTAATAATACTACCGTACCATACCGGGCGATGGGGGAACATTCTCAAGCCTCATCCCCCATCCTCATCCTCACCACCGCCACCAAAACTTGTCTCTCCCCGCCCAAACCACCACAACCTCCACCGACCTGGCTCACGAGTTGGAGTCCAAGGTCTTGCGAAGGAACTGCAGCGATTATTCTCGCAACAATTCGTAGCGTGCTACCTGTTTTCAAACTAAAGCCAAGAAAATCGCCGAAGTCCAAGGCTTGCTGCAGCTGGCAAGAGTCGTCCTGCGCTGCGGAGCCCCACATTGCCATAGGCTCTGACTGTCCTGTATAGGCTCGCAGCCAAGACTACAAAAATATAGCGGGAGAAACAGGTTACCGCAAGGAAGAAGACCGCTGTTTCCTGACGTCTCGTGTCCCCGTCGTTGTCTCCATCTCCATCTCTTTTTCATCTTTCTTCACATCAACATCAACTGTTATCGCCCATTATCTTCGCTAAAATCAAGTCGTCGCTGTGAGTTTCACGCGCCCGGACCTCACCGACGACGCAAGCCGGAAGGAATCACAAGGGAACCAGGGCGTTCGGCCATGTCGTCGACGCCCAACCATGAACGAAAGCGTGCGGTCCATGCAGCAGAATATTTGGCTGCTTACTCGTCCATATCTGATCTTTCAACGACCACTGCCACCTCTTCCACCACTGTAACACCGACCGAAGCCACCACTGGTGCTGGTGCTGGTGCTGGTTCTTCGACTACTTGTCTCGATCCCCGAGAGATCACTACTGGCCCATCCGCTGCTTCCTTGACCCCAGTTGAGCGGCAACCGGCCACCTCCGCTGCCAACTTTCACGCAAGTCCCAGATTTGACCTTGCCTCTCCTCCATCCCTTGGGCATGGGAATCTCGCCTCACAGCACAATGAGTCATGGAAAACCTCGTTTGCCGGGGATGGGCCCGGGGAACCGTCCCTCCATGACCGTGTGGTTGGTGGCGGGCTGCTACGAGAATCGGTCTTTCCAGACTGGAGAGATGGCATGCCTGGCGGCGGGTATGAGAATACGGAAGAATTGCAAAAGCAAGATCCACTAGCGACTCAGATATGGAAGCTATACAGCCGGACTAAATCCCAATTACCCAACCAGGAGCGCATGGAAAACTTGACTTGGCGCATGATGGCGATGAACCTGAAGAAGAAGAGAGAACGCGAAGAAGCTAACATGCCTGAAAAAGCAAGCAGTTGGAATAACTCGAGGTTGCCAGAGTAAGTGTTGTTGATGCTGTTCCCCCACGTAGAATCGATCACCTGCCTTGGATAGTTCAATTTTAGCTTTGTCTTATATTCCCGCTTTTTTACGTTCACTTTCATTAAATGGTGCTGTCGCTGATTATAAATAATAAAATAGAGATGCCAATCAAATGTCAAAGTCTGGTGCTGGGCCCAGTGGTATAGCCAGGCTTCGACAGTCAATCGATGGGAATAACACTCCTCTTGAGTCTGACCCAATGAATATTGACGACTTCATTTTACCGGCGTCCATAGATTCCCCTTCCGGTTTGTCCCCGTCCTCGCCTATTGAGACAGCTGGCTCAGGTCATGCAGTGGCATCGGCTATCCCGATTAAATCACGAAAAGCCGAGCAATCCCCCCCGCCGGACAATTTTATGCCAGCTTCGTTTCCCCACCCACCCCAACATCATCGACAGAATGATGAATTTGGATATGTGCAGCGACGTGTTCGCAAGACTAGTATTGACGAGAGAAATGTACATATTCTTCTACATATGTTTTCAGTGCTTGTTTTCAAGAGTATCCTTCCCGCTGACAGTCCCTCTGAATCAGGCGCGGAAACGACCGGCTGAAGCATCTCCCCAAGTGCCTCCTGTTACAGGTCTCATCATACCGAATGAACCAGATTTCGATACAAGCATGACCGACTACAGTCTCGATCAACCTCACTCCGCCTATCCAGTTAACTACCACCTTCCTACAGGCATCCCTTTCAACTTAGAAACATTTCAGCCCCGTGACGATTCGATTCTTACCTCCGCAAGTCCTTTCCAGCAAAACTACCCATTCTCCCCATCAGACTCTCCAGTGGTGGCTAGTGGGCCTTTCCCAGGAGTTTATTCCCACACTCCAATGGGTTCGTCCCTCAACTCAACCGATTTCTATTCTCCACCACAATCGGGATATCAATCCACTGCTTCAACACCTCAACCAGGCTTTGATAACGAAAATATGATGTATTTCGAGCAGAATAACGTCGACGTGAGATCAAACCGTTCAATAGCCAACTTTCGCGGATCCTCGACCTATACCGGATCGCAATCCCGTCACATATATCACTCAACTAATGAGTCCACTTTTAGCGCAATTAGAAGGGCTGGCCAATCGAACCTTTCATCGCCAGGCTTCCCGATGCAGCACCATCATATGGATCCCAACCAAGTCCTAACGAGTGGTGATTTCGCGTCTGGTCCATCTCAACAGCCCCGAAACCTGAACAATGTAAACATGTTTACCTTTGGTGCAGATTCTGATAATGACGAGGAGGATGGGAATCCCTTCCCCGACAGATCCATGGCGATTCAGTCCGATTATGGTGTTGTTGACGATTCCGCTATTGGTCTACATAATTCGAGTTTACAGTGGGAGTCCCGTTTGGCTGAACAATTTAACTCCGCGCCAAATAGTTTTCAAGGCCATAGAAAGCATGTCACGATCGGTGGAACAGAAATTGCTAACTTCGGGCGAGACTGGGCCAATGGAGGCTTAGGTCGCACCCATGGCTCTGCAGCCTCTGTGAGTGAAATCCGTAACCGAGACCAGGATCCAAGAAGACAAAAGATTCCTCGAACAATTTCAACTCCCAACACCACTCAGCTCCTCCACCAAAGCACGATCAATCAGCCCCATACAACTCCAAATTCTCCGCCAAGATCGGGATTCAGTAGCGCAGCCCCTTCAAGGCCTGCAAGCCCTGGGGGCGCCAGGCAGAGTGAACCTTCTGCTGCACCCACCACTTGCACGAATTGCTTCACACAGACCACCCCATTATGGCGTAGAAACCCTGAGGGCCAGCCGCTTTGTAATGCTTGCGGCTTATTCCTGAAGTTACATGGTGTTGTCCGCCCACTGTCATTGAAAACAGATGTGATCAAAAAACGCAACCGCGGAAGCGGTAATAGCCTCCCAGTTGGCGTTGGGTCAGCGCGTTCCGCAAAAAAAGTATCGCGGAAGAACTCCATGCCGCAAACGCAGCCAGCAATGGTCATGTCTAATAAAGGCCCCGGTTCGTCGGAACCCCCACTTTCTACTCCAACGTCGACTGGTGGCTCAACACCAGCAAGCGCTCCGACAAGTTATTCAGGCCCGATAAAGGGCAGTGTTGTGCCAATTGCGGCGGCACCGCCAAAGCCAGCCCCAACCTCCCTAGCCAGCAGTCTTGCCCAAGTGCGAGCACCGGTCCAAGTTACGGGCAAGCGTACTCGCAGGTTCGAAAAGGCGCCTGTCGGATTCCAAGGGTCGCAGGAAGCAGAAATGCGTGATGTTACAGACAACTCTAACAAGCCATTTATCCCGTTGACTCGACCGAAACCACTTGGCCCCCCTACGACCCAACCGCCAGCTGCGACCAATCCAGCCCATCACAGCCTTGCTGCTGGTGCTCGACAAGCCGGGAGCCAGGAATGGGAATGGCTTACCATGAGTCTATGAAAAGCCGCATTTCATGTTGAGGAATCTCGATCCCGCCATCACGGATCATAATATTTTTATTCACCGCTCGTTTTCCGGAACGAATTTGAATACTTCTCACATGAGACTCTGATTTCTGAGTTTCATTGTTTTGGATGGAGAGGCATTTGTTGGCGGGTGGCCACTCTTTTCTGGGTTCGCTTTTCTGAGGAACGACTGTTCTTTTCGCCACGCCGTTGTTTCTCGCCAATCTCTGTTCAAAAGTAAATATAGATTTCATTTCTTTTACATTCGCTAGCGATTTCGGAGGGAGGGCACTCTGCGTTCCCTATAGAGGCATTGGAGGGTCTCAGTTGTCACAAGGCAAGCAGTGACGTCCTTGTTGCAGCAGCCCTTCTCTCTACTCCGGGGACATTTTCATGGGCCTTTTTGCAACTGCTTCTGCACCGCTTCTCATGGGAGGATCTATTTTCAGGCGTTATTTATTCCTATCTACCACCCGTCGGGACGAGATCATCCAATGTACATTACATGCAACGTATACGACCCGCCTGTTTCAGTTCCATCCCGTGCTCTTGACTGGTTGCGCCGTCCTTCGATTGGGGTTCAAATGTCCGGCTGGGAAAAATTTGTTCAGGCTATTCTACCCCGCCGTCCAACAATCTCAGGATGGGCACTTGATTCATCTCCAACTAACATTTTGTGATGTCTTTCAAGCTGTATTCAGCTATTATTGATTTTATGAACTTTTTGTCTTTTTGTGTTTTTCATTTTTTTTTTGCCCCCTATTTCTATTTTTCTCTTTTCCACTTTTTTTCTCTAATCTCTTTCCGACTCCTCTTTTCCGTCAAGTCCTATTTTGTCGTGGTTGGCTCAATGTGATTTGATATGACTGATACCATCGCGTCTGTTTCCCACTTGCCCAACCAACCAGCTTTTTTTTTCCTCTTCCCTTCTTCTACCATATTTCTGACTTATGTTCCTCGTTTCCTTAATGTTTTCATGTTCTGCGTTTATTTTGCTTTGTGGTTTTTGGTTGGGCAGTGCACAGAAGTGCGCATCTCCATTTTATCTTCTAGTTTCCCGCTTTAATCTCCCTTTTTTTTTTTTTTTTTTTTTTTTCTTGGTCCCTTCGCATACACTATTCGGTGTTCCCGGCTTCCATTTTTCCCCCGTCCCCTTCCTTTAAGCGCCCTGATATTCCGCTTGTTTCTTCATGTCTTACCCCTCATGTTTCTATGAAGGCGTGAGGGTATGTATATAAACGTGTCTGGTGACTTTGCTCATGGGCCTCTACCAGTTTCCGACCTTGCTCACTCCCAATCTCCTCCGGGTAACTTCTCTACACTATTTTTATACTTGGATTGGTTGCACATTTTCATTTTCTATATACTATTTTTCACATCCTTACTAATTAAGAACCCCTACTTACTTATTGTCCTGATGATACACGATTCACGGACCGTAGGTCAGAGCTCTCATGGTTTCTCTTTTTTATTTTTATTTTTATTTTATTTTTATTTTTCTCTTTTTATTTTTATTTTGTTTCTTTTTTATTTTTTATTTTTTCTTTTCTCCCGTTCTGGGACTTGTCTATTCACTCATACACATGTACATACATAATACCTGATTTGATACTTTTCTTCCAATTTTACACACATATATATTGATATCATTTCTTTCCTATCTCTTCATCATAGCGGTAATTGCTGTTCTGTTTTTCAAAGCTTTTGGGATATTGGAGTGTAAAGGCACAGAATTACCTGTGAAAGAATGATAGAGCATAACTAGTACTACATGTCATTGATAGAAGCTACTTGACTACTCTATTTGTGCACGCCTTTCCGACCCCCTTGAGAATTAAGGTGAATTACCCTATGATATCATGCTATACACTCTAAGAAACTACAACTAAAGAGAGCTAAGCATTGAATACTCTGCTCATGGAGGTTTGAGACCCTGATTTTATGATGGTCATATACTAGCTTCTGCTTTCGTATGCATAGGAGTTTAGAGTGACACATACTATGTCTCAGGTACTGTACCCTGGCTTCTAAACAACAGTTAATTACTCATGATTTATTAGATGGCATAAAGAGTAGATAGGTAATAGGAAGGAGGATAGGCAGGTGGAGCAGCAAAACCTGCACAACAACCAACTTATACTTGTCTCGCCCATAGGTACAAATGCTGGCAAATTCTGAATTCGTTGGCCTTATTCCGTTTGAGAAGGGTATTTCGACCACACCTCACTGTTTTATATGAGCAATAATATCATGCGACCTATGCAGGATGGGCAGAAAGAGGGGGGAGGAGACGGGCTTCCAGATCTCAAACGCTCCTGCCCCCTCCCGCTCTTCCACTACATCTTATTCTTATCTTCCAACCCAGTAACAAAGATTATCTACCAGTGTGCGAATGCAAGCAGGCAGAGCGGTGGGGTATGTGCATTGTGGCATCGCGGTCCCTTTCTAAGTTAGGCGCGAGGAGCGAGTGATGCATTGACAAAGGATTCAAACCATGGTCTACCCGCGACCGGCTAGACGGATAACTCAGGGGTGAGTAGGACAGATGGGGGACAAAAGAATGGCAAGACATGGACAGACGGGAAGGGGGGAATGAAACGTACCCGACGGGTATTCATACCTGTGCACCGGAGTTTGGTACGGGGGACGGGAAGGGGATGTGGTTGAGCTGAGTTGGCCCGTGAACCAGTGGGAGGGGGAAGGAAGGACGGGACCCACAACCTTAAAAACCTTATGAAACCTTAAGTTACTTGCAACCACCAACGCTCGGTAATAATAGTTCAATTTCATGTAGCTCAACATGCAATGTTCAGGAGACTATGGCCACGCTGATTGATTCAATGGTTACAAGCCGGGCTAATCTCTACCTGCATATCAGAAGAAGTTTAGCAAGCAAATATTTTATCACTATACCCAAGATTTAATAAAATGTTTCTTAAAGATTATAACAGGATGATAAAAACAAGTTACATTCATACTCATACAAGCACGACATATAATCAGAAAAAGAAATCCTCTGGTATTTCAAATCCCCTGTAAATAATCCAATTGTAATCATTTTTTGCCATCCGTTAGCTATAAAAGTCACACGCGCGCCTTATTTTCTTGAGATATATCTACCAGTAACATGTCAATCTAAACAGTATATGCAGAGATCAGAGAGGGAAATACAAGAAGGTTCGGAAAGAAAAGAAAAAAGGGAAAGATAAAAGGGGGAATAAAGTGGAGAGAAAAAGGAGGCCCAACATAAAATATAGGACGGTGGAAGAAGTAAAGTATAAAGATAGAAGGAGATGATGAAGAGGAAAGAGCTGCTAAATCTTCTTTCATATGAGTTCTCCAGTAGGGCCAGCCCAGTAAATGATACTATGTCAACGCGAGGAAGGAGATTGTGAATAAAGAAGAATCGGATGTATGTCGCGGAGGGGGAGAGGGGGAGCAGGTGCTGCTTCCAATTGGAGTCTAGCAAAAGGCAATCGGCGTGTGATAATGTCATCAGAGTGGTGATTGAGAGAAGGCGACAGTCGGCTCAAGGAAACAAAACGGAAAGGGGATAGGATATCATAGAAATTGGAAAACGGGGAGGGGAATAAATCAACATTGGAAATTGGTTAGTGCCATCCAATCCATCGCCAGAAAAGAGCAGCATGTGTGTTCGACGAAAACTAGCAAGGTGGAGGCGGCGGCGCGTGTATGATCAATAGAATTTCTCACCAGCTGCTGAGGGGAGATAGTCAGAAGCATCTGGTCATACGCCATATAAGGCCGATATAGGGTACTGCAAAGGGCCTGGAGACACATTGCTTAGGAGAGGTATCTCGCCAGTAAGCCGCACAACGACTATCACAAATTCTCCCTCATAATAGGCTCGGATTCGTAATTGTAATGCCACAAGCGGGAAGCGAAAGGGTATCGGAGTCCAAAGATCGGATGAAGGAATAAAGGACAGTGTTGCGGAATGGAAAGATAATTCTTATTCATCCTCGAGGCTGAAATCGCTGGAGTCATTGAATGTGCCCGCATATCATTAAAATCGTCTGGCGGAAAAAGATTGAACCCAAAAGAAAAGCGGAGAGTCCGCTAGGCAGAATATAAAAACACCTCGTTGGTCGTAATAGGGAACAAGGACAACAAAAGCGACATTCGGAATGTGGGAACCGTTTTGCTCTATCCAGTTAGAAATCTTCGTTTTCATGTCCTTTTACTCCCTATGATATTCGATGTTTTTGCGCCAGCCACTAGAGTATTCCAAAATCGACTACAGAAAGTGCAAAAGTTTGGCGCAAAGTGGCATAATTTCCTAAAAATCCAGCGTAAACAGATCAAGAGCAGGGAAAGGATTCCATCTCCTCTCCCCGATTCTGAGTAGCCTAGGAAGCCATACCACCAGTTTTATGACAGTAAGTCTAGTACGGTGAGTTCTGCTTTCTTTTAGACCTCTGCGTATATATTGTAGCACGGCATCAGACGGTGTTTTGGTCAGGCAGGGTTCACGGATTGTGATATTCATCCTGTTTCATCCTTGCGTACTGCTGGGGGTCAGCTGCGTACCATCCGCCTAGCCCATAGGGTGTTGACCCAATAACTGGTTGATTAGGATTTGCAGGTACTGTTGGTTGCCCCTGGTATGCTTCCCACGAGGAATAGCCTACTGAGGATTGTGTTTGCGTATAAGAAACAGGGGCAGTCGATGATGGTAATTCCGGCACTGAAGTATTCGTTGGGCGGGCATATGTTTCCCCGGGGGCAGTCATTCGACGTTTAAATTCCGGTGGTATTTGTTGCTGATACTGGTTTTGGTACTGTGCCAGATTACCCGAGGCGAGAGTTACGGATCTCGTGGGCTGTGCGGGCCAAACAGAGCTGTCGGTCATACCGAATGCTGTTGGGTCACCGGTTGATGGAAGAATGCCAGGAGTGAGAGGAGTCCCGGGAATGGATGGGGCCGTGGAAAGAGGTGCAACTGGTGGGGTATGATTCCACAGGGTATTCGTTGGGGTAGTCATTTGCGACTTCGCCATTGCACTGGGGAGGTTTTGATCAAAATATGAAGAACCGTCCCACGGTACAGGTTGGCTTACAGGTTGGACAGCGCTTAAATCGTGTGTGTTTAGAGGATCTATTAAGAAGTTAATCACTGGGTTAATAAATGCACCGAGCATCGGACGAACCTGGACTGAAATTCGACATGGGGGTCGCGGTGTACGGGCCGGGCTCAAACGGGGAGATATCTTGCCCTGAATTTATCGACATTGGTGCGTACTGGAAGTATGAATCCGTTTGGTCCATAAGTCCTCCGCCTACCAGCGCTGGCGGTGACGAGGTTATCGATGCTTCGGTTGATGTGGTCCCAGCTTTCGACCCTGCGCGAGACCGTTTCGGTTCTACAGGTGGTTGTTGATCCACTGGGAAAAAATGACACTCTTTCTTCAACCGAATGCAGTTTTCGCATCGCGTATCGTCGGAGGCAAGTAAGCATCGAATTTTCCTTCTCCTACAATGTACTGCACCCACAACGGTTAGAAACCAAGTATGAGCATCAGAATCATAAGGGAGAAACAGCAAGTATCGGGTGCATCATGTCAAGACTCTAGTGTGCATAAAATCGGACCCTCCAATATGTATACTGAATGAACGGCTTACCGCATGCAACTGATGTTCTATGGTAGCCCAGTTTATTGCGCTTTTTGTCAGCGGCTGATCCCGCCGTGGCATCCATGGTCAGGCCTTGACTCGTTTCTTTGAAGTGCTGATCAGTAGGCATCCCCATACATAGCTCTCCAGGTTGATAGGGCCCAGTAGTATCACGAATGTTGTAGTCCATCAATTAATCGACTTAAATCGTTGACGAACTGAGAACTCGAAGACTATATGCGGGCGAAGTAGAAAGATATTAGAGTGCTGACTAGGGTCTACTTCCATCCCCAAGAAGTATAAAGCCCGCCTTTCTACGCGCCACAGGATCGCGCCACAGCGAGATTCTCAGGGAGGAGAATGCGCGATTGTGAGCAATAAATGGCTAAACTGCCCGATACATTACCCACGACAGCGTCCTTACCCCGCGGACGATACAGCGAAGGTTACGATGCTCGGAGAAGTCGCGGCGGAGAATCGTGACAAGAAGATTTTAGAGATCGATCTAAAAGGCAAGGATATTAAAAGAGTAAAAAACAAACAACAAGTAGGAAATATATGAGAAGAGACCCTCCCGAACGAATGAGGGGAAGGTCAATGGAACCAGGAGCATGAAAACCCCATCAAAGGATGAATTTAAGTGAAGCTAATCGAGGGGTGAAACGCCCAAGAGTTTTCTGCTCTTGCATAAATGAGGAGCTACCACGTTAAGAACCAAAGTTAGGTCCGTAGCCGGAGAAGAAGAGATGATCAATTCTCAAGCCACCGGATGTATCCACGAAACTGGTCTGCTTTGGCAGCTCCCCACAAAAGTATGAAACCGCGGGACCACCTAGGAAGTCAGGAAATAAATAAGAGAGAAAAGCCAGCAAGGGACACGAGTACCAAGTACGGACTAAAGCGGCAAACGAGGACATTTGAATTATGATACTGCGAGATGAGGAATACTCACTAGTGAGGAGAAAGAGCATTCTGTTCCTCTCCTTTTCGTTGTCGCTTCCCTATTGCCTCTTTTTTCTTTTCTTTTCTTTTTTCTTTTCTTTTTCTTTTTTTTTCTCGTCCCTCCTCAACTCTCAAACGGACGAAGGCATATCTACAGCCGTTAAAGGGAAACTTTCGTGTAAAGGTGCCCCTGACCACTCCAACTAGAAGTAGTCGTAGTGTCGGATCCGTCAGCGGAGAACCATTTGATCCTAAGAACACTTTCGTGAGCAATGGCAGCAGCCGCAAAAATAAATCCCATCGTTGTTATTCAACAACTGGAGGAGATGGGCATTCTACCTTTTTTAAGTTTTGTAAAAAGAGGCTGCTGATGGGCGTGTCGTATCTGACAGCGCCCGGGCAAGGTGTCCAAACGCAGGAACCTAGTCGATTACGACAATTCGGTACCCAGCCAGCACAATCTCCGTGTGAATCCATTGTCGCTTGAGTGGAGCAGGGCGGTACTAGGCAGGGGTTGAACAAATCCACACCGCGCGTGTTGGTTGTTGGGTTCTGACCCAGCTTCACACTTCGCTGCAGGGCCCTAGCAACAGCTACCTCGGGCCCAGAAAAAGCTTCATAACAAGCCAACGAGGAGAAACCGCCGACAGATCAGACTAGAGGGCTGGAAGGTGCCTGTGGATATGATTATTTCGATGCCGGGACAGCGCGTCTCCATTATCCATTCCACAATCCACAACAAGAATAAGCATGGATCCGACTAATTTCTCAGTCGCAATTGGGTGTTGCTAAGTTTTGAAATCCCATTCGAACACATCTCAAATAACAAGCGAAAACTCAATTCCTGATTGCAAAAGATGCACAACGGGCAATTGCTGACCGCGCGCCAGCTGTCGGCGTCCTATCAGGCTCAGGCATCGAGGTTGAGCTGTTGATCTGTGATGCTTCGGCGGATAAGTCTGTTGTCATGGGTGTATCAATGTTACACGGCCAAGGCCACCACCTGCAAAATTCGCAAGCGCGAGAAGCGTGAACACGCCAAGCACATGCTCAAGGCAAGGTTCTTGTTCTGCGATGGCATTATTGGCCTGCGAGAAGTGCAAAACTCGCGCAGAAGAGGGGTTGTTGTTGGATGATATATTTGTGAAACAAAATTTGCAAACACTCGGCCAATCGCCAATCTCGCTGCGTGGGACAGACTGTAATTATCGCTTAGTTAAGATATCCAGGACTTCCCCAAACCCGAAAATGGAGATACCAAATGTGCATCAAATGCTCTGGATTCCACTAAAAGACGTCCTAAGAGGCTAAGACGCTGGTCTTCCCCCGATAAGGCCTCGTAAATATGCCAAATGGCCAACTGGCCAGACTGGAACAGACTAGCCGGATGATCGACTCGAACAAGGCCAATTCTTCGACTGAAACAAAACCCAATAATAATCTTAATTAATCATGGCAAGCGAGTTCCTTCGAGCAATAATGGCATTCCACTGAAGAGAACGACCGCCGCTCAGCGCAGCAGGTAATCAATTGAGCCAAAATAAGCTGTTCAAACCCAGGATAAATAAATGGCCCTAATGCTTGGAAAACCAGTGCTTGATAACTTCCATTGCAGTCGCGTTGTGGTATCTGCAGGTTCAATCCATGGATCTTCACGAGAATGGAGCTGATCAGAGCTGAGGAACACCATTTGGACCTTTTGCGCATAGTACGCACCGTCCCAGCAACACCCTACGCATCTTCAAGTCTCGAGTGTTAGCACGTTAGCGTCAAGCCACAAGCTCCAACTACCAAGCTTGGGGGAAGCGCAAAACCCCAAAACCTTAGATAGATACGTTGGCCAATTGGGCGCGAGCTTTAAGGCTGCACTGCACTGAAACTGACACTACTAGCACCATAATGAGTGAAATATAGGGGTGCTTGAAGCCAACAGCCCCCAACTTTTCTGACCTTGATAATAAAAGCGACAGCTCTCAGAGGAAAGGATGACAGGTTTGACCCTCATTCATGTTGGCAGTAGGGCGATTGCAATGACATTGTTTTGACCTAGCTTGTTGCTTTTTCTTCGCAATCCAACACACAAAAGATCAATCCGTAGAGCTGTAGCGCTGATGCATCAATGGCTGTATCTGTGAGATGAGAGTTGACCTCGGTTTCCTCGAGAGACCTCCATTCGTTTCTGGTCTACTCCGTACGGAGTAGTTTGCTCGAAATTCCTCTATTTTTGGTGCGACTGGCAAGAAAGTCTCAGATAACACCCAGTCTATCACAAAGGCTGTGAAATGCATGGGGAAGGGGCCTAACCACCATGGCGGCATCCGCACGCCATCCACGGAGGTTGAAGGTTTAATTAAGGATCAGAACCTCTTTAGCGGCATGCAATGTCGTTCACCACCAGTTTGAGCCATGGGTCCCTGCATCCACCCGGTGGCAACGTAAGCCGAAAGGAAGCCCAAAAACGCGCTAAAGACAAAGGAGAGCAGCTGCAGCCGGTGCTGCAGAAGAGCAAGTCTGGGGCATTTGCATTTTGTTCCTGCTTCATCTTGTGGCAGGAAACATGTTATTCAATTCTGACCCGACATTCACGACCCAAATTGGCCCAGAACTCAAAGATCTGTGGATGAAGGACTCCGACTCGACAGATACCGACCTCTGTCTTTCGAACAAATCTAATCTGTATCGTGGTGTGCCAATTAAAGGTAGAAGCACTGGTCCACAGCCCCGGAAAACAAACAAAACTGATTGTATGTACTGTACATGTACGGAGTACATTCACAGAAGAAATATGAAAGAGTCCGGCAAGCATTCCATTATCCAAAAGAATGCCTTCCACCATTTGATGGACTGCAGCATATTCCAAGCCAGCGCAAAGTTACTCCAAGAGAACTCTAGTACACATGTACGTATTCATATCCAGAAAACTGTTGGATCTGTGATGAACATCGCTAATGTCAACGCTAATGTCAACGCTTTATAGGAGTAAGAGGACATACATGCAGCCCAATAGCAGCATTGAACTCCTAACTGACTGGATTGGGGAAAACAATACACCTAATGTCAAAATCGTATCTTATAATTTGTGCTTTGTGCCGCTAGCTAAAGCTAGCATATTCCTGTTTTGCTTGCATAACAATGAGTGAATCATGGTATTTGTTTTCCGAGTGCAGCGATGAAAAAGTGAGTCTTCGAACCTATCAACTCTGGACACACAAAACGGAAGGGCCAGAACGCCCTTCATAGATTTGCTCTACGAGGAGGGGGGCCTTGCATTGATTATCTATTTTTCTCATATCCTTTTCTCAATCTTCAAAGTTGTCAACGCATCGCATTAACTAGACAAAGCAAGCAGTACAGAAATTGGATGCACCAATTAGTGGTATATGATTCGCTATCAACATTGAAAAGGAATATCCACAAATAACGATGCACGGAGGCAAAGCGTACGCCAGTCCCCAACCCATATCCTTTCGGACCAAATCCTTTACGGAGTCGTGACTTTTACTTTTTAATGGAAAAAAGTAATTAGTGGAGGGTTTTGGAGATAGGGCCATCATGTCAGGTTAGCCTGGGATGGAAGACCAAATACCAGTCACTCAATAGCGTCCAATTTCGGTTTAAAAATGCATCACGAGAGCGACTGATATATGGCATGATTTCTCACCGCAAGAATGCGCATTTCGAATTTACCCCGAGCGTTGCTGTAGGGCTTTCAATTCTCTTGCGGTACCACCCCAGTTCAATTTAAAAGTCAGCACTTTCCCCTGTGGCCAGTCGATCTGCCCTTTCCTCCATCTTTCACTCCATGGGCTTTTTCTATCCTAGCCACATTCTAACATTGAAAAGGGATAGATATGTGCGTTTCTCATTCGATAATCCCGAGGTAACTATACAAGCCAACAGCAACATGCGACATGCAACATGCAGCCCATTATGCCTTTCAGGTTTTGCGAAACGCCGCGCAGGAAAACAGACCAAACACCATCCACGACCCCAGAAACCTGACCCCGGTGGAGAAGCATGAACCCCTGTCTTGTTAGGAGCAACCGGCTGTTAGGCTGGCACACAGGACCATTTAACTGGCTTGCATTCGCGAGCCAGTTATCCAAGGTTACAGCATGGGGGTGTTCCTACTAGCCGCACAGCACCGGGAGAAGTGATCATCATTGAACATGACTCTAGGAGATTGTGATTTGGGAGTAGTGAATTGTATGTCGAGTGGTTTCCGTATGTGAATTGACTGTTTCTCACAGGAACCCCTACACGCCCAGGGGGGGGGGGGGGGGCCTTGTTACCCTTGGAGAGCGTATCGCGGAGAGAAATGCTTTGATTGTCCTTGTTGAATTTGCTTGACTAGTTGATTGGTAGATGTTCGACTTATCGCCCGAAGTTCTACCCAAATGTCCTTTCCTCTTACATCCGCAGCCTGAAAGACGGTTGTTTGGACATTAGCAGGCGGTTGGAACGAAGGCCCAAGACCGACGTTGGGCCACTGCGGAATCCTTGTGGAAAGGCTTACGACGACATTGATTTACAGTTATCTGATTGATGCCATTTGTTCTATTCGATCTTATTTAGTCGATTTTATTTATTCTCTTCTTCATTTTTGGAAAAATGGGGTTGATTCGTTGGGCCTACGCGCAGTAACCCAGACATTTATCCACCAGGTCTTCGAACTCAAATTGCATTACAGCTTTAACTGGATATCCTTTCTACAAAAACCAACCCAGCAGTGAAACATTAAAATAGTTAGTTATATCTCCTCTACCCTTCTGTAACTCGGCAAGTTCAAATTGAGCTCATCCATTCTGATTCAATGTTCATACTAATCCCATCCCCGTCCCGAAAGGCGAGTGAAACAATATAAAAAATCTATGTTTCAAAAGTCGAAGCTGTGGCAATTACCTTCATTGCATTTCAACGTGAATTACATTCGCTAATTATAGCCATTCTATTCAGCATCGGGACACACTTCAAATGACGGAATGAAGGAAAGCAAACCTGGGGAGCACAATCCGCTTTCAAATTAGGGAATAAAAGAAGATACGAAGCAAGCAAAAAATCAATCAAGGACAGACAAGAAGCTAGGGGAAGGCCGGAGTGGAAATCGACAAGAAATTTGCAAACGATGAAGCCATGCCCAGGACATCGGCAGCACCCTCCCTTCCTTTTCATTTTTTTTTCCCGATGTTCCCCGTTCCCCTCCTCTTTTGCCGTTCCTTTCTTTTATGCCTTCGGATGTAAATTTCGATATCGTAACAGGGTAAAAAATTCGAACGGGAGCGGGTTTGTTTTGGGTTTGATGGCTGATTATTGAAATTGATATTTGGACAGTTTTAGATTTTAGACGTCGAGTTGACATATTTGTCGGTTGAATTAGCGGTTTTATCCCCCTTCAATAACCTTTTTTCCCATTAAATTGTGTCTTCTTCCCTCATTCTTTTTTTTTTTTTTTTTTTTTTTTTTTAATTATTTTTTTTTTTCCCTCTTTGTTCATTTGACAAAAAGAAATTGGAGACGGGATATTAATTTTTCTTCATCTTCTGGAGATGGAAGTAATAAAACTCTCGTCCGTCAACCGAGTATTTGTTTTAAAAGCCAGGAAACCTACATATGCTCGTTGAGGAAGCCCAGCACTGTCTTATATCCATTTTCATACTCCTTTCGAACTTCTGGATTGTCCAAATCTCCTCTGGCCGCCATCCAGCCGTGGATCTGTGTGCTCCACGTCTCGATATGGTTGGGGACCTTGAGGTTATGCTTGAAGGCCTTGACCTCGTCGACGTCCTCGTCCATGGAAGCCAACAATACCATTGGGATAGTGACCTTGGGCGCATCATTTGGATCAAGCATGGCGGGATGGCACTGAACGGCGGCTTTGAAAAGGGTGTTCTCCATCGAAGCCAGAGTGGCGATCTTCCCGCCCCAGCAGTAGCCAAGGATAGCCCAGGCTTTGAATTTTCCTCCGTCGGCGAGCTTGTTGGCTTCTTCGACCACGCCAGGGATTCGTGAGAGTATTCCTGGCGGGGCAGCCTTGGTTTGGAAAAAGTCATGCAGGTTCTTCTTGTGTTCTTCGGTTGCGGGAGGGTACCAAGAAATGTCGGCTGGGCTGCCATCGAAGAGATCAGGCATGAAGACGCGGTACTTGCGGTTCGGGTCAGAGGTGGCCATTATATCGGCACCCTGAAGAGTCTGTGAGAAGAAGCCGAAGATGTCTGGGAAAGTTTAAGGCTGTCAACGGCGGGACGGTGTGAATTTGTTTTACGGTGGGGGTTTCAAGTACCGAAAATAACGAGGATGGCTTCTGTAGCATTTTCAGGGCCAGTGACGTCTGTGAACATGTCATTAATATGAAGATCAGGCAAGGGTGAGGAGTTCAGGCTAGTTCATAAGAGAATATAGGGGATTTACAAGACGGAGGACTTACATGTTTTCATGCCATTTATGGTAATATACTTTCCCTTCTCCTCGTAGCCTTTCGAGACAATGGGAGGGATTCTACAGGGCACCAATGCGATTAGTAAAGCTTTGTACCAACGGCCAATGGACACAGCACTTCACTTACGAGCAGCAGGCCTTGCTATATTTCGACATATCTGCGGCGGAGCGGGAATATCGATTTCCTCTAAACGGAGTGTAATAGGAAAGCTTTGGTGACAGCACTGGAGCTCTAGACAGAGGGGTTCGAAGGAGAGCTAGAAATGGCTGTGGTCTCATGAAAAAAAAAAAAAAAAAAAGGGCAAACTGCAAAATAACAGGAGTGGTTTCTTAACACGTGGTAGTGTTTTTGATGTTGATGCTTTCGATTGTGCCTGAACTAACTTAAGTAGTAGTTAGTGGGGTGGAGACGACAGTTGCGTCATAATAACCTCGGGAGGGTGGGGGGGGGGGGGGGGGGGTTTTGCGCTCCCGCCTCGGAAGTTGTTGCGTGGCGCGGAAACAAGAAACCTTGGTTCTTTGTTTGTTGATATCAAACGCTACACGTTTCCTTCTTTGGTGACCCCAAACCTGAAGTGTTCCCTATTTCGAAATTGTCTCTTGTGTCCGGTCCTCGCGCCGTGTGCTACATATATTCCTCCTCAGAGTGAAACGTGCTATCCCCCGACTATGCACAAGGGTCTTGGGGCATGGCTTCATCTCTCCTAATGCTACCTCACCCTCACTCCAGTGGCTTTGCGTTCCGTTCGGCCGGTGCTCGGTATTGTTGGACTAAGCCCGTGCGGGTTCGAATTAATGCAGAACCTCCTTGCGCACTGCCTAAAGCATCCCACATTTCACATTTCACCGTTGAAACACTGACTACCGGCCCTTTATGCCGGCAAGGGAAAGGTAGATTCGGACCACGTTTTTTGAAAGTGTTATCCGTGCACAGCGGCTCTAGACTCAGCCCGGGATATGACATATATACCACATCCCCAAGGAGGTTCCAAGGAGGAATTCATGAAACTTGAAAGGAGAACGTGTCGATACGCAAACAGTTCCAAACCGGAGAATTCTATTCTCAAAATATTCAAAGTTATGTTCTTCATTTGCATGAACATGAAGTTCCCATTAGCATGGCATGGCAATGAGTATGCAGTGTATGCATGCTCCCTTGATCTCCTATTCCATCCAGCCCCCGCCTCTCTGGGAATGAAGCTATTTCGGCCTCACACCCCCTGGCATCTTTAAACCTACATGAAAAACGCTATGATTGCTTCTGACCCGTAAATCAGTGGATTGACAGCATGATCGTTTTAAAAAAGGCTCATCCGACAAATTGGGTATTATAGTAAGAGTATTCCGAACAAAAGCCAACCAAATAAAGCTCAAAGGATTTGTTGCTTAATACACATATGATATTTGTGTGTGAGTCGGCCGCTAAGACCACGAGATTTAAAATATAAATTTCTGGCTATCAGCCTCACTTATCATATCTTCTGTAACTCCATCACCCGCTCAGAATGATTACACCAATTCCATCTGGCGCCTGGAACAGATTCCATCATTCTCGAATAAGGATATCCCTAATTCGAGGGTTCAAAAACTCGCGAATCGGCAATGTGTAAAAGTGCAACATATCCAATTGCCGGTGTCGGAGAGCCTTCAGAGAGGAGAGCTTCTTTCGATTTGATAAGGTTCGCCTCCTTCCCTCCGAGCTATCCCAAGGTTTGGGAATAAATCACCGTTCAAAGCATTTGTCAACGATAACTGCTGTCCTGTCCTGGATGATCGAACTTTTCCGGGCGGGAGGTGATTATCAAGCGACTGCCGAACCTCTCAGGTCCACGTTCTCCTCGGAACTTTTCCTATGCTCATCACCACTCCCTTCGCCAAACTTTGGAATCTGTACTCAGGACAAGCTTTGAGGCTTGTCTTTCCCTCCCTAGCTAGATCATGACCAACGTCCTCTGGCAAGGCTTGGATCCGTTGCCCAAGCTCCAGGATCTAAACCCTCGACAAGCCCATCTGTTCATGCGCTAGGGCGGAAGTAAATATGGCTCAATGTGAGCCCAGGATGGGAAGGTAAGTTGCCCCTTAAACCTATCAGATGGAATAAAGTCAGGATTGGTCCACCCGATCCTTAGGTCCAGGGTGAGAAGGAGCTTCATTCCTTCATCCTGGACCAAAACTCGTGAAACAGCAAACGAGGGGCCTTCATGGATAGCTACGCTATTGGTTGTGGTGTGTTTGTTGTTGAACGACTCTTTTGACGGCATCTACGGAATATCGAGAACTCTCGTTTCAATCATGATGGTACTGTATTGAGAGAAAATGGCAGTTCTGGGCCTCATCCCTGTCATATATATATACAAGAATATGTATGCTGGCTTTTTAAACCAGACTGATAACGGTGGTATTTGATTCAGGTTACGTTCTGAGAAAATTATGTATTTGACTTTCCCCAAGGCCTCTGATCTACTTGGTTGCAAGGACTCGCCCCTGAACAGCTACTCCTACCAAAGTTATTATTACTCAGACTGCAGCCATCAAAGACACACAAGTGAACACAAGCCTTGAGCTGGAGCGTGCTCGGAGTGTCTTTTGTCGAGTGGTGCAGATAACTGTTGAATCCACGGTTGAAATTGGTTGTGTGCCCTGAAGTTGTGTTCGCAGAAGATCATATATCAAATCGATATTTGATATCCAAGGATATATCGATGAAGGGCTCTCTACCTGGAAAATGTTATACTGTATGATTGCAATTAGTTTGGTTTACTGTTGTTACTGGGGAAGAAAAGGCTTCTGGCAACCAGCTTCGAAGTTGAACTGTTGATCTGACGAACAACGCATCTGCACTGGTGAGATCCAGCTGGCTTATAGATCTGGTTCGCTTCATCTGAAAATTCACTTCACATCTCCGTATGTTGTCTTTCCTCGGAATATTTACTCTGATGTAGACTGCTGATCAACCATATTATATGGAAGTTATCTCCATGTTAAGGTCAGCTTATTTAGAGCCTGTATCCACCTGGGTCATGTAATTGGTACTGATTCCTGTCGAGCCTTCCCTAAATAGTTGAACTATCTACTATCCGTTAGCAAAGGCTAACCTGATAGTCGAGAGTCGGTATCTAACACAGGTAGTGGTTGTGAATCAGATACAATTTCGTGCATGCCTCATTTTAGTATTACTTCCTACGGAAGTCACCTTTCTACCCGGTACTACCCAGCTGTTATGAGTAATGCCAACTCCAACCCTTGCAATTGATCGCACAGCATATGGCCAAACTTGACCCCCAAAGCTTCACCCCTTCTACTAGCTCAGCTATTTTGATCTGGTTAATTACGACATGCGAACAAGATGTCTGTTATATATAGTAGTGGTACTTCCGCTGTTTTTGAGGTCAAAATCATTGATAATTTAACTCGCTCAATGATAGATAGGTGTATCACCCTACATGCCGTTGCGCTAGCTCCGTCGGGGTAATGAATCACTTGGTGGGCTTTCCTTCCGCCACCTCATAAAGCTAGAGGCACCAAAAACAATCACAGGCAGCTAAAGAACACGACAACTCCGGATGACAACAGGTGCGGATACACATGGCGTGAGTTGGCTTTCCTCTTGAGGAATAATGCAAGGGAATTCCTGATTGGATTGGAATTTGCTGGCCGAGTTCCTACATGGACATTCAATGGGATTCTGCGAACTGACATTGTGCTACCAATGTCTCACAACAAATGATATGTGGAGGAGGTACCTGACCATTCTCCCGAGACTAACTTGTAACGAGGTCGACGCATGGATATCAGAATGTCATGTATTTTCCTCCCCAAAAATAGAAGCAAAGGTTAAAACAACAGCCGTTGTTCCAGTTGAAAGTTTGCCATGATGCGGCTGAAAAGCTTTAATTTTCTTCAACGAAGAATTTAGGAACATTCCTGCCCCCCTATTACCAAGATAAACCTTCACATTGGATGCCCCTCCAAGCCAGCCTCTCGAGGCGCCAATGCCACATTCTTCGGTAGGTTTGGAAACCCATCACCAATGAGACAGAAACACGAACTCGTGGCTTTAAAACCCAGTGAGACAGTCTCAATGAGGTATTCCGATTAGGCCTTCATCGAGCAGGCGCACTCCATACCTACAGCCCTTGTACGGATCCTCCAGTTTAATGCAGTCTATCAGATCTTCCCGAAGCAGGGACAGTGAGCTGGTAGATCAATCGAATACCAACATGGGGATGCGGGAGCCTAAGATCAGCCCCAGCCACAAGTGCATGCCGAAGTGCCATTCTCATTTGCACATCGTTTCCGCGCCTTGTGCGACGCTTGCATCCTCTTCCTGTCTCATCTACATATCAGCATGATCACTTGATTGATGAGGAAACAAAAAAGCAAAGCAAAGAAAAGAAAAGGAAACAAAAAATCGACAGGCTGAGCAACATGCATGTCTGCCCAGAGCTGAACAGAACATGTGGACCGCAGAGCCTCAATCCCTAAGAGGAAATGAAAGGCGAGATTTGAATGGGCAAGCTTTTGAAGCCTGGTTCGAATTGTAGAACTCGGTGGGCATCGCTGAAAAGCGCATGGCACTATTCATTCCGCATACGGATTTAAGAACACCGGCGGCGGTGAGACAACGGCACGCCAAAACTTTGGCTGGATATTACGGGGTAGTTGGTACAAGGAACAAGCTCCTCTGTACTCCGTACCGAGTACAGAGTAGTTTGTCAGGAACAAGCTCCAACGACCTAGGTTATATTTAGTACAGAACCATGCAGAGGCAAACTAAGTTAAGGTGGCTAACAACTCTTTTTGAAAGACTTTCCCACGACGTGGTTCAGATCATCAGGGGCGTCGGAAAAATACCAGAAGTTAAAGCAAGAGGGCCAGTAGCACAAAGGTCAAAAACGCTCGAAAACCTCGTACGCAGTACAGGTGATAGGTTTTGCCATTTGAGGAAAAAAGGGTTGGGTCCTCGATAGATACGGGTTGTCGGTGGACGACTTAACATGAACCACATACCCCTGTAGATCTGGGGGAGCATCTTGCGAAGGATTGATATTTACACCCGGGCTATTTACGCCTCGGCCAAGAGACACTACTTTTTTATAGGTTTAGTGTTTACATGGTATTACATATAAAATAAGTAGCTTTTGAATGTAGTTGTCAAAGTGTCTCTCTTTCCTAGCTAGTCTGTACTCTGTGTACTCCGTACAGGGTACTCCGTACAGTGTCTGCAGTTCTTTGAATAGATTATAAGACAGTTGGCTTCTGTCAGTCATATCTGACACTCATCTATCAGCACACATTGATTGTATTAGTAATCAAGGCTGAGAAACATTCATAAGAATTTAAGTTGTAACTCTGTTGTATACTGGCATAAATATTTCCATTTCTAATAAGGGGGTTAAAATGCCTGTGGCGCCTATAAACAGCTACAGCTTGACTAAATCTAGTCTAAATCTCAGGGTCTTGAGAATGAGAAATGGTATCAGTATTACAGCTTAAATTCTTAGTGCTCATCAAAACTTTTGAGAGGATCCTCTGTACCTCCGTACTCTGTATAGGCTGTAATAATATTATTATTAATAGAGTTCTTCTGGACTGCAAGATCTGCTTAGAAACACTAGTAATTCTTGATGTAAGACTGTGTATACACTAAACCTATAAAAAGTAGTGGTTTTTTTCTTAGTGTAAATAGCCGGCTCTGGGTGTAAATATCAGTCCTTATCTCAAAACCGAGACGAAAGGTTCTCTAATAACAGTGATAATCTGGTCATGCTGAATCTGCCTGCTGATACCTAATGAAACTTTTGGTTTGACAGATGGGGTGGGAAAATTAACGGTGGTATACTCCGTAGTCGAAAAGGAGAGGCTGGAATTCAACACGTGGGATCACAGCATAAGAAGCCCAAGCCATTATGCGGTAAATTAAGGAGAGGTTGCATGCATTATTGGGGGAAAACAGGATCAGAAAAAACAAAGCTGATAGATTCGACATGCCGTCAGTTCTTTGCGATACAGTTAAGGAACTTGGTGTTGCTTTTTGTCATCCTCTATATAGATTAGTTCTCTCTAGATTTTCTTTCCAAGTCAACATTTGCTTTTTCTCAGGGGAGCCCAAATGTTCACAGGGACGTTAACTTCTTCAATATTATTGGAACTGAATAAATGCAAATTAAGACCATTGGCTTCGTAACGGGGTCGATTTTGTCTGGGTGTTTTATTTCCAAAGTCAGGCTTGAGTTCTGCATGGTGTGAACGAATAGCAGCATCGTTTTAGCGAGCCCAAGAGCCAAAGGGTGGTCACTAAAAAAAAAAAAAAAGTAAAAGCAACAGCAGGGGGAAAAAAGAAAAAAGAAAAAGAAAAAGAAATAGAAAAAAAAAGAAATGAGATCCGTCAACGGGACCGCAGCCTGCAGCTCAACCTTTCGGAACATTCACCCCCCTTTCCTTTTTCTTTGTTATTTACTCCTCACATTTCCTCTGGTTCGCCCACCATCTCTCGCGGAGGCGGAAGATGGAGTCGAACCTTGGACAGCTATCCTTGAGTTTGCCCTTTACCCAGTCGGCTAGCGCAGAGTACGGCTGCGAAGAATGAAAATTATCAACTTCTGGTGCAAGGAGACTCTGTAGAAGTCCGCGTGCTCTGGACACATGGAAAATGGTCGTCAATGCGTTTCAGTTCAGCAAATGATAGTTATAGTCAACACAAACAAAAGTGCATGTAAAAGCAAGCAGAGCGATTGCCTTCACTGCATGCAGACTACTGCATGGGGATGTGGTTAACTTCTGGACTCAAGACATATGGGATCGATATGATAGGTCAAAAGCAGGATCATCAGGAGGTCCACAGGGATGATTTGATGCCAATGTTTGCCTCTAAGTCTGTTTTAACATTTCGCTGAACTGATGGAGTTATGAGGCAAATCTGCCCCGGGCAGGTTTCTCAGCATGCTTTGCAGATGCATGCTCGAACAATATGGCTACTTCAGTGGATAAAACAGACCAAGAACTCAACTCTTGCAATGATGATAACCAGTTTCAAGGGGTTCTCTGGGGCCAAGTCTACAGTAATAATACCATTATTTATTGTAGGTATTTTTCCTCCTTGGGCCCCTCAACCCCGCTTATTGTGTACAGCCTACAATGCTTCACCTGTATTGGACCTTACACCCCTCAAATGCGGCGAGATCGGAAGCCTCAGATATTTCCTTGTGTTCTCCCGCAAATTCTCAGACCCAGGAAACTGGTCTGGTATCTCTTTGGCTCGCCAGGTACGAGCAAGCCAATGGGGAACGGAAATGCTTAAACCAAGCCTGCTGGATTAGGCGAACAGAAAAGCTGGATTGCGGTGAAGAAAGCGGAGATCGATATTTATTAGCTTCCTTGTGTCAGTGGCCACAGACGAGGGAGGCCACACCCGCAATTTTCTCCGCACATGTGGCGAGCGGTTAGAAGCCACATCGGCCAGAAGCTTTCCTTGATGGAGGTAGACGGGAGCAATAGTTTCTCCACACTGATGAATTCCCCACGCCAGCCCTGGACTTGGGGATTTGCCTTCGCAAGTTCGTATCGACAGCCTGGAATGCTCCAGGCAAATGAAATTCTGAGAACGCCGGTTTCGAGTCGCCACATCGTTCAACTAGAAGGGGAATCAAAGCCCGGACGGAGATTGACAGATCTCCGCCAAGGGAGAGTTTCTTCTTTTTTTCTCCAACTCTTGACCTCATTCGCTGTAATAACGAATGCTTGCTCGCCCAATGTTATTAGTGCCAAATTAAGTTCTTCCGTCGCATGTGAAGGGGAGCCGAAACAAGGTTTAATCGAGAACCCAGACGGTTACGCAGTAATTCGAAATATGACTCGGCTAGCACCGAGGCAACCAATTCCATGAGATGAATTGAAAGCTCCATGCGCTTTTTTGTTTGACCCTCGCTTTTTTTTTTTTTTTTTTTTTTTTAACTTTTGGGGGCTATGTGAAGGGCAACAATGTGAGGTATAAAAGTGGTATGGTATGTCACTGTGGCCGCTCAAGGAGCTGGTCAAATTTGTGTGGGATGCTGAGCCGAACCAGGGAGGTTGATACTGGTTCAACGCTTCATCAATTGCAATTTGCAAGTCAGTTACTTGACCTTCAGCATTGCAAGAACTATTTCAGTAAGCGAATAGGAGTTGGACCAATCAACCACACCCGGCACAAGCGATGTGAAAACAAGCTCATCCGCCCCCAGCAATCGACATGGACTGCCATCTCTCCCGACCGATACCATCCTGGCTTAACGTATTGAATTAAGGGTTCCTATTGTCAAACTTGACCATTCATACAGTAGTTATCCGTACACCTGGGTTTGAGATTACTGAAAAAGTTCCGCTAGCCTGTTTTTTGGTCTCGCAGACAGCAATAAGAAAAGACACTGGAAGCACATCTCTGAAACAGAGACCCTATAATTGCCTTTCATTGGGCGTCCCTTTTGGTGCATACTTTATTATTCAAGGGGAGGAAGTACACAGTATGCACAACGTAGTACGTGAAAAACAAATGAATACTGCATGTTTGTGTGGGGTTGGGGAGGAACTGGTCACACTGCTGAAATCGCGTCGAATTCTTTGTTTGAGCACTTGCTGACGAGATCTAGATACAATAAAAGTAAAAAAAAATAAAAATAAAAAGAATAACACGTACCAAATTAGGGCGTGTTAAACGGGGATCCTAAGTAATAAGGAAAGCCCATATTTAGGACATGAAGTTCACCTCAGAAGTAGACAGAGGAAAAAACCAGCACGAGTTTTTGAGGTTGAAACCTGTCAGGCCGAGCCAATAATGGTGAGCAGGAATGTCAGTATAGGCATATGAATGGAGGGACAATAAACACGCGCGCTGATTTCCACAGATAATTGCATCCGCCTAAAGCTACCGGATTATACACCCCAAGTCAATTGGCATGGAGCCAGACTCTACCAATTGCCCAAAGAAATGTTGAAGAAGTGGATGCCAGCTAATTTGCTACCTATCCAAGTCTGGGCCGTAAAAGCAGTCTTCCTTTGGTAGCTACTCAGCGAACTGTAACGTGAACTTTCCGTCGGCTTGGTATGATTATCTAGTTCGAAGCGGGGTGATTTCTTCCATTATTATTATATATTATCATGCTTCATTGAACTAGCAAACTCAATCGGATCGTCTTTGTCTGCCATGACGAATGGGTTGCTGAAGGGGTGCAAGAAACGCAAAATGGGTATTGATCACACTGCTGGGAGCTGTTGTCGTCATTCTGGAACCCGAGAAGATGGATAGGTCCGCTCCTCATCAGTCTTCTCCCAATATCAAATTGCGGCGGACTTTGGTGGAGGCCATCGCATCGCATGGCAAGCAGGGATTGTTATTAGTTCGTCTTAGTTCGGGATGTTCCCCTTGGACTAACGCTGCGCGCTGCTCTCTGTTCGCACGCAGGAGGAAGGGCAGACGATGCAGGCTAGGCCGAACGTATCACCCTGCCCAGGTGTCCACCTACTAGTGTACATACATGAGTTAGCAAATAATGAATACATTCGCGCACATAGAGGGCTGGATGAGGCGCAACCTTAACCTGGAAGTCTGCCACCAACGTCAAGTGAGCGCCAACCCCAGTTCCGGTAATCGATTCACTGTCCTGGGCTTGTTCGCAATAGAACAATGCGTCCACACGACGCCTGAAACACCACTCAGAATCGTGGTTAAAAATAATACACTTGAGAGATCATGTCTTGGGTGGAGGTTTGATGGTGAGTGTGCAGAGACATCACAAGCCCCAACCGCAAGCCCTAGCCCTATTTTCATCCATTAACGGCGAACAGAACCACACCCTTTGAGCCTCAACGACTTTATTTCCACCTCATCCGACTGTAAACTCTGTACTGACCTACACCGACACACTCTGCGGCCGTGGTCCCTCCTGTTTCAATGATTCCTCATATCTGGTTTTTGACCCATGCAGCTTTGCCAGCAGGACATGCTCTAATTCGTATTTGTTTTTTGTGGTTGGTCTCCCCGGCTGACTGGAACGAAAACTACCAAAGCTTAAATGCTCCAAGCGCGGGCAGCAGCCGGTCGACAGAGCTGATGGTCCGCCTGTCACCCAGTGCTTTTCGCACCAGATCGATCCACAACCCTTGAAGGCAATGTCAAATTCCGCTAACACATGCAGGACTAACCCAGGTGAAATTTCAAGGCTATTGATAAATGCTATCCCTTTTTTGTCCCAAGTCTGGCTCCATATGTCTGGAAAGAGGATCGCGTCCTGGCTGCTTTTGACGGGCTGCTTGTGACGGGCGCTGTCACTGGCGAGAGAGGATAGGATGGCTCTTTACAACAATAATACTTATCAAGGTTTCTGAACTCTGGACCATGGGTCGACCCTTGGCATAAGCCTAATCGGACTTATTAGCTTGACACCCTGAACCCTGTCCAGCAGCCCACTCTGCAGTAGACAGAGCCTCTGCTTCAGCCAAACAGAACTTGCCTCAGCTCACAATAATACGAGCATCCTCGAATGGACCAAATGTTGTCCCACTTTGAACTAGTTGCAGATTGCAGCCGCACCGTGCGCCAGTGACAAAAAATGGGCGACGCCCATTTCTCGAGGTTCCCCCCACTGGGCTCGTGTCAGCATTCGGGCCAACGAGAATTGAGTCTGATCCGTCAAATATTTTATCCTTTTTGCTTGCTGCTTTGGGGACTGTTAGCTGCGGCCCCAATTTTCTCCAATTCCCACCATTTGAGAGGCTAGCCAAGGGACAAGACGCTTGTCAAGGTTCATCGCGTGTTGGTCCGCTTGCTGGTGCCTTCCCGGTGTCTTTCGATTTGGCGAGAGGCCCATCCAGCCTCTCCCGTGACCCCAAAATCCCTCCATGACGGGTCATCTGGAGAGGGGCACGTTAGTGCGATGGTCAAAAGATTTTTGCCCATGTCTGCTCGCTGGATTGCTCTGGATCTGATCTCAGGAACTTGGTCTTGAGCGCCGGAGCTTTGATTGGAAAAAAAAAATAATGGATTATGATTGAGAACCCCAGATCCCAAAGCTTGACAAAGAGGAGATCGCCCAACTTTTGCAGTCAAGGTTCCAATAATCATTGAAGCCTTAACCAACGGCTCTGGCCATCTTGGAGTTAAGGTATTTATTATTACCTTTTATTATTGTTGTGATTATTTGCCGCTTAAGCTTTATTTGTTTGATTACTACATCCGTCCTCCATAATAATAACTAATAAATCACCCTCGCTTTCTTCCACTTGGGGTTCCGGCCGGGTTGCGCATTTCCCCGGAATTATTTGAAAAATAGAAAACCACCTTGACACCCCTTTCCTCCTTCCTCTTTTTTCTTGTCTCTCTTCCGCTTCTAATTTCTCTTGATATCTGGCTGTGACACTCTATCCTGCATCGTTTGCCATTTCCCCCTTTTCACCTTCATAGACTCGATCTTCCTTACACACGCGCCAGGCTTGTACAACATATGCGACGCGAGAGCTTGACAGCGAAAGGAAAAGGGACAATAAACAATTCGAACGGAACCGGGCAGACGAGAAAAGTTTAGTCGCAGGGCCGGAAGAAAAACAGAATCATTTTTTGCGGCGGGTATTATTTTTGATCTCTCTGATCACTGAGCTTATTCCCCTTTGCGCCGCCCGACAGGGAGATACCTGCCCGGACTTCCAGGGGCCGCCCGAGCTACCTCAAGTGATCGTCGTCCCTCTGCTCCACATCCCTCTATCAAGATCACCAACATATTTATCTTCATATTTTTAAATTATTTTGGCGCCGATCCAGAGGGGATAGTACTTCCCGAGTGAAATTCCTTAGCTTCATTATCGACTTAACTCAGCTCATTGTGACAATAAGTGGAGGCCCATCTTTCTGCCTGACGGTTCAATTTCATCCGGTTTTTTCCATCGAGTGGCGACTGTTTCCATCCAGCGCGATTCGAGCCATCTCCAAGATCTTATTTTTGAGTAGGTACAGGCATGTGCATTTAGCTCGCACCACATCTACCTTATTTTATTTCCCATTGCTGTTGCAAATCTACTGTGAATGCGAACCTTGCTGGCGCATCTAACTTCCCATGCTTTTGCTGCATCAGCCCATCCCTCGGTCGCCCATTCTTTTCGGGACGAGATTGACATTTTGGCTCACTTGGAGACATTGTGTTAATGCTAACTTGCCTTTAGGATGCGATCAAGTAAACTATTACTCGAATTCATAGCGTCCACCCTTCCATCGCCGTATTCAGCCCATTCTCAATTGTTGCTCTAATTAACGACATTTCTACGCCCCTCCTTACCTGCACCTCCGGTACCTGCAGCTTGACACCTCCCGCGGGGTCGCAAAATTGCACCCAATCGACTACTAAGTCTTATCTTGCACTTGGAGCCTCGTTCCCATCAATATCGACTTGCACCAGTACGAGTTGCTATTGAGAGCGCCGCGTCCAATCCAAAGTGTAGTGCAGTATTACCTCCGATTTTCTATCCTCAGCTGAGCAGTAAACTGCCCTCCGTGGATACTTCTGGTATTTCTGGAGGTCGATATTGGCCTAACAGTGACTATTCCATACTCCAACCGGGGCAAGTACCCCTCACCACTGCTCCCCCAACACCCACCCCAGACTCCGAATTTTCAAGGCAGCCAGGCACGTCGCGAAACCTTTCCGTCAACGTGGCGGCCCTCGCTGTTCAGCCGCCCGGAATGGGGACGGCGCTTGATGCTCTGAATTCACATCAGTCACTGACGTCTCGACGACCAGCTGCAAACAATTTGCCTGGCTTCGAGCTTCTCCATCCTCAAGTTTCGCAATCACAAAAGTATTCACACCCTTCAAGCACTAACGCGCAACAGCCCTCGAGAGTCGGCAGTTTATTAACCCCTCCATCAAACACTTCATCAGACGCCAGTTCGATTTCCGCGTACGTGAGCCATAGTTCTGTTTCGTCCAGCCAAACAGCTCCTTCGTATTCTCAGGGCTACTGGCCACAGTCAAATAGTTTTGGTACTGGTATGATCAACCAGCCCTGGCCCCAGTCCTTTCCTTCCAGGAGCGGGTTTTCACCACCCTCATCATATGCAGGTCGAAACAATTCGAACTCTCCTACAACTGCGGACACTTTAACGCCCTCATACGATATAAACCAGCGTGCCTATTTCCAAACGCCAATTCCCGGTGCATCAACATCGTCTGGCCCATCCCCAACAACACAGCAACCCCAACAGGCTATGGCGCACGTTCTGATGAATGCGCAGGCCACCACTGCGACGGTGCCGCCCACTCCACCAGCGCAGAACAACGTTGATGCGTATGGGCAGAAATTACCATCTACCCCACTTTATAGTGGATCACATCAAAGTACCCCACAGCAAGCCACGTTCCCGCCATATCAGAGTAGTGGCAGTTCAGCCATTCACCACTCTGGCACCAATGGACCGTCGTCAAGGATCTCGCCGATCCAAGCTCAGATGCAGGGTGAAGGCCAACATCAGTTAACCCAGTACAGTAGCCGGCCATATCCATCTTACTCCCTGCCTGCGATGAGCGGACCAATTATGACGAACGTACATCATCCGAATTCTCAGCTAGCGCTTATGGGATCTATACAACCAAACCTCCTACCAGCTTTCAACAGTGGCCACGCAGCGGCTATGAGTAGCGTGTTTAGTGGACACCCAAATCACATACACGGACTTATGCAACATCCACCACCCGATGATCGACCGTATCGATGCGACCAATGTACACAAAGTTTCAGGCGAAACCACGACTTGAAAAGGCATAAGCGCATTCATTTGGCAGTTAAGCCCTATCCCTGTGATCACTGTGCCAAGAGCTTTTCACGCAAGGACGCATTAAAGGTATAAATTGCTCTCTAATCATTATATCTCATCCCCAAGCTTCTTTACTAACGTATACATAGCGACATATTCTTGTCAAGGGCTGCGATAAGGACAAGGATTCCCAGTCTGATAAAAATAGCACAACGGCTAGCTCCCCGGTACTAACGCGCACGGACAATGGCACTGGTAACTCTGCCAGTGGCCGAACTCACAATATACAGGGAAACCATGCCTTGAAGTCGCATACATGAAGCTCATTTCTGCATTCTGTAATACATTCCGTTTGATATAATCCGGGTGGATAACGTACTTTATTATTCATACTGGTTACCCGGGTAGTTCGTGTTCTATGTCAATTTTTGCCGGCTTACCCATAATTGAGAAAATCAGGCCCCGGTTTTTCGTCCTTTTTGGGATTATTATTTCCGCTATTGTTTGTTTTTTGGGGGGAACAGCACATACTTCCTCGTACTTCCTCATACTTGCTCTTTCTCACGTTGTTTTGGCATTTTCTTGGAAATATGGGCAATAGGGTAGAGTTGAGGTGTCCTTGGGTCTAATTTATCGGAAATATTTTTACCTTAACCGATCTTTTTTTTTCTTTTTTGCTCTTTGACATGTTTGTGGTCTGGTCCCTTTGTATTTCTGGGGGAGAAATGTTTGCTTACCATAATGCTACCTTTTACCTTTTATTCATCATATTTAGGCGTTCCATCCTCTTCGTCCCCTTCTTGAGCAATAACTTTTTGCCCATTCACTCAGCACATTTTATCTTGCTTTGAAACCCTGTCTGTTTTTGATCAAATGCTCTCACCTTATTCTACCATAGGATTTTCCTATTGGTTGTTGAAGCAAGTTATTTGTTTGTCCTCATATTCACCATCATATTATTTTTCAACACTTGTCACCTTTTTGGCATCCTAGCAACGTTTCCTTTTGATTGACCTCACTTTTACTCCCTTGTATGTACATGTATAAGTATTTATGTGTCATGTTTATAAATCCTGGCTGAACCATACTGAACTGAATGAAAGCACCAAGAAGTAAACAATAACCCCTGAAAAGCTAAAAGTGTGCTGTCAACACCTTCATGTCATTCATAGTGAACACTCTACTAGATTTTACCTCAGTGAAGTTTACTCTATCTGAATTGATAATTCAGAGCAAAGGGCATTCAAATCATTGAATAGTCTGTGTTTACCACTGTCTCATATCACTTTATTTCTCAAGCGGCAGCAACCAGGACGCACGTTTCATACATTTAGCACGAACAACAAATCTTCCCGACTCCACAAAAATATGTACGTTTTCAAGACCCTTCCCTCTACTCCTCCGACTCGCTTCATTCGAAGCTAGAGTCATACCGCACATTTTCCATGCGCGCGGCAAGGGGACTTTGACGCCAGCCCTGTATGTAATAACAACGCCATCTTGATAAATTATGCATAGCCAGCATTAGCACAAATTCCGGACAAAACTTTGCACTTTCTCCAGAACGATCCTACGGCAAACTCCATGAAATTTTCGTTCGGAAACGGCCAGAGTATCAGGAGACAGTCATCCAAGCGGCTTCTAAGAAGTGTAAACATGTCATACAGTGATCCGCACTGGGGAGGGGGGTGCTTATCATATGTAGCACACGCCTGTATACTTAATTTATTCCGCATACATCTGGGCAAGTCTCACAGTAGAATCGACTGGGGCAGCCGCAGAACTTAGAGCTTTCCTGAATCTTGCGAACCACCAGTCCCACCTTCGTCCTTCCTGCGCCAGAAGCCCGGAACCTCATCAATGTTCTGGCAAGACCAGTAGGGTGGCCTCTCGTAATGTAATTTCCATTTCTCCTGGCCGTGGAGCTTGTCATAGAATTCAAAACAAGAAAGAACGTAGATATACCTCCAGCTGACATCCTCCTTTTCGTCCGCAGTCTTCCCGTCCTCAACATTTGGGTGGACAGTATAGTCCCTCTCCTGAACAAAGAGCGGATCCCATTCCCTGCAAAGCAACTTGATCACAGGTTCGGGCATATGCTTCATAGATTCAAGCGAGATATCATCAACAAAGAGACAGAAGTTGTACCGGGTTGCGCTGGCAATATGCTTGCGAAGCAGCTCTTCCTCCTCACGTTCAGACTGGGGTAGCTTAGGTAGCTTATCCATTTCGTTTTGAACGAAGCGATTGAAGTGGTCACGAACAACATGCGATGAAGCGCCGTCTAGTTGAGTCCTGTCATCCATGACAATTAACTCGTGGCGGCTCCAGAATTCTTCCCCGCCCTCCATCATCAGGTAGCCCTCCATATGGCTACAGATGAGATCGAGCATTTCCTCCCATGCATCCTGATCACTATACGTACACCGGAACACGACGAAGCCCCAGGTTTTGTCTTTCTTCAGCTTGTCATCTTTGAGAGACTCTTCAATCGCCACGACTGGTTGGGACTCGTCGTCCCACAAAACCCCAAACCCATATTCAGGTTTATCTGCCCATCTCGCAGTGTGAGTTTGGTTCGGTATTCTTTCCTCGGAGTAAAGAAGCTTTGTAGAATAGGACAACTGCTGCTTTTGCTCTTTTTTCGCTCGTTGTATTTTGTAATGTGCTTGAGCATTGGGCCTAGGTTTCCTGGTATTAAGGAGGCACGATGACAAACTCCTTATGTACGTGCCGGAGATTCGCAGTCTAGCCAAGCTAGCAATAGATCTCCAGTGCATGGTGAATGTATACTATTTTCTTGTCTGCATTCTATCTCAATGGCGCGTCATGATTTCAAGTTGTTGCATGAGCTCGTAGGGCTGCGTTTATGGAAGGAACACCAGCTTAGTCAGCACATAGTTGCATTGCAGACAAATAGAAGGTATACATTGTCTACTCAATTATGTGAGATATATTTTTAGACTTTATAGACATATTGTCAGATCACGTGATCTGGCTTACTAATCCTTCCACCATATAACTTTCCACAAAGCTAGCAACCTTTCAATCACACAAGCTTTACACCTTCCACAGGTTATGAGACCTGTTTTGCGCAAAATCGCTGCCAATTCAGGATTCCTTGTTGATATAATCATTATTTAACTACTGCTTCATTCAATACACCCATCAGGAGTTAAAATCGTCTTATTCTATCAGTATTGATGTGTTTGAGATCTTGATGATCAATAATACTACTGCTCACTTAAAAAAAAGAGGCTTGCAGAAAACGCACCACATTGCAAAAAAGCAAGAAAAAGAGAACAATATTGGCAAGGATCCAATAAATGAATATCAAGAATTCAATAAATGAATATCAAGATGGCGGATTCAATACGATCTCGCCCACATACACATTCGCGATCTCGCGTCCTTTCCACTGGATCAGTTGATGGTGATGATTCTTCACACTCACGCTCTGCCAGTGGACATCCTCCTGGAGCCTTTGAAAGCTCCATTGATGAACGCCCCGAAACACCCTCTTGATTTGAAGCTGGTTTGAATACAGCTCCTGACACGGTCAGGCCGGCCCCCCGATCTACTCAACAGCTTGATGCTGGTTCTCTTGATGAGAATAATGAACACCCAGGTGTCTACCATTCAGGCGAGGCAATATCAGACCAACAGATGAAACATCTCAAGATGACATTTGAGATGGAGAAGGAGAGGCGTAGAGTCCTAGAACTCGAATTACAACTGGAAAAACTCTGTCAACAGAGATTCTCTACGGATCGATCACAGAATGTCAACAATCATCCTGTCACCACCTCAACAGCCTGTACAGCCACATGGGATCCTAATCTCAGTGAAAGGTTGGAATTCAACCTTTATAAACTGGATAGCCGTGTTGACAAGGCAATCTCCCAATTCAAGGAAGATGTCAAGAATACTGTGAGATCAAACAGTCTAACTGACACATTCAATTACATCACATGGAGCATCTTCATGAAATCGAAACTGGTTGATGCACAGTGTTGGTATATGATAGAGAAATGACAGACTCAGAACCCTCTACAAAGAGATGATGAATGAGCACCATTCTGGGACGCCAGAAACCGGTGGCTCTACACATTCATCTCGAACTCATTGGGTGCAGGTGTCAGACCACATTTCTCCAAATATGATGAAAATCGGATTGCTTATACCCTATGGAATGCGATCAAACAGGAATACTCTGTCCTCAAAACACAGTTACGCCGTGAGGCAGTTCTGGAATTCATGTCTCTTGGTGGCACACAGGTCACCAATCTACACACATTCTTTGATAAGTTCCAGTCCGCCATCACGAAGTTGGAGATGTTGGATGCTTCCCCACCAGATGCATGGATATTTGATACCTTCTATTCAGTCCTACCCAACAATTGGAGGGATTATGTTCAGAAGAAGATAGAGGAGATACAGGATTCCAAATCCACAGCTGTGGTATTGGATGTTGATCTTCTCATGGAGGAGATCCGCTCGCGGCTTGATCCTTCAAAAGATAAAAAGAATCTGCAGAATACAGATTCTGCGGCCAACTCAGCTACAACAGCTACAACAGCTACGACAGCTACAACGGCCATAACAACTACCAACAACAATACATCGAATTCGGCCCGTGGAGGCTGTAATGGACATGGTCGTGGTAGTTCACAAGGGGGCTCCTGAAACCATCAAGGATCGGGAAATCCACCTACATGTCCTGAATGCGAGAGATCTCACTTTGACACCTGTTGATTGGCCAATTCGGACAGTGCTCCAGATAATTGGAGGATCTACAACACTGCAAGGATAAAGAAATTCAAAGAAAAGAAGGAAAAGAATAGTGAGGGTAGAACCCAACTATTCATTACAGATGGATCAGAGACCTATCAGATGGCAAACCTCGCAGAGGTTATCAATGTGCCAGCCTGTTTCATGGAACCCCACAAGGATCCCTCCAACGGGCGTTTATACATATCAAAGGACGTCATCTTCCAGGAGGACCTCCATCTTGCCGATCCATCGATACCAACTACTACGCACAACCCGAAGGTCCTACCCAATGCGGCCCGTAAAGCGGCTGCGGCGATTCCTTCGGCGACACCAGGCCTACCCGCCGCAACGATTCCTTCGGCGATTCCTGATCCATCAATTGATGATCTGTTCATTGATGAGGAAATCCAACCTGAGTGTCCATTATTTCTCGTACCCACTAATAATTGGTGGATTGACTATGATATCTCCGCGAGAATACCTACCCTTTTAGTGCAGAATACACTGAACTCCCCAGAACCCACAGTTGAATCTGATGACCCTCCGACATCTACAAGGGATATCACTATAGTGGGGGAATCTACAGTGGGGGAATCTTCAGTGGGGGACAGTCTTGAAGACCTACCCACCGATCCCGAGATCGCTGCACTTCCGATCCCGAAAAACCTCACGCGCGCCAAAGCTTCCATGGAATGGAAGTATTATTACAAGGCCTGTGTTAAAGAGGTCAACCGTTCGAAATATACGCGTTGGAAAGAGAAAATAAAGAAGATAGGGGGATAGAGGGATAAAAAATGATGTATCTCATGACTGGTTTTTCATTACTACACATTTTCCAGTCATTTTTTGTACCTGTACTTGATTTGAAGGCGAATTTTGTATATAGCATCGTGTATAGTTACTCTGGTGAGTGGGGGTGTCAGGTCACGTGATCTGGCTTACTAATCCTTCCACCATATAACTTTCCACAAAGCTAGCAACCTTTCAATCACACAAGCTTTACACCTTCCACACATATATCTTACTATTGTCCATCGAAATAGTTGGGCACAATTGGAAGCTATGACACTCAGGGGGTAGGTAGCCACTTGGAAGTTGGAACGCGCTGGGCAGTAAGGACGTTAGAAAGCCAGCTAGCTATATTTGCTCTAAAAAAGCATAACTAAGTATAGATGTGTAGAATATTAATATTCATTTCGTCATCGTTTCCTTTTCCTTTCTGCATTATATCATCTCTCATTATCCTCCGTAATATGTCATCAAACTGCTTACGGATCGAATCGAATTTTATCTATCGCCTTCTTTAGTAGATTAGCCTGAGCAATCAAGGCGACTGCTGCAGGGTTGCTCATCGTGTTTTTGTCGTAGAATTTGCTGTTAATTCGACCGACGCTGTCGAGCACGAAAGCGGTACCAACAGCCACCATTTCCGCGTATAAATCGGTTTCAAATTCTTTCCATATGCTGGATAAAGGCTCAAGGCCAGGCATGAATTGACCAATAATCGCAATTTCCTTTGCGAGGTCTCTCCTTGCTTTATCGAGGCCGCCCCTGAGAACTCCATCATTCAAGTAGTTGAATATGCCAATTGTCTATGGGAGTTAGCAATCGATCCACGCTATAGAAACATAGGACTGACTTTCTGAAGTTTGCCAGCAACAAGCTTTGCAGCTTCCATATCTCCCTTCGCCACATCTCTCAGAGCTGTGTTAAAGGTTGAAATCGCCATTGGTTGAGCACCGCCTACGAGGTTCTTCTTGATGTAGTTCATATCACGTGGGAGTATAGACATGCCAGTGCGGTAAGCATAGGATCCAATGATCTCAAATACACGATCATTTGGTGTCAATGGAGGCGTCCAGTCAGGTTTGTCGGATACTATAGCTCCGATTCGCGGTAACGTGACATCGTACAGCTTATTCCAGCCATCAAGGAGCTTCTGCGGATCAATGGTAACTGACTTCATCTTTGCCCCAGATGGTAGATAACCCGTTACCGCAGTCTGGAGGAATCTTTTGACCATTTGGATCTGCTAAGTCATGAGCAGCTAAATATTTCCACCTACGCGAATGCGATGTCAGGAGCTATGACCTACCTCTTGGAGGTGCTCCGCGTGGAAACCCTTCATTGGAAGATCAGAAAGCTTGACGTATTGCACCGCTGTACTTCCGCAAACGTCTTTTAACATTCTAGTTGTAGAGAGAAAGTAAAGGTAAGCGTCTGGTCCTCAAAAGAAAATAAGGTGATGGGGGTTGCGATTACCTAAAGCCTCCTCGCAGAGGCAAGGTGGACGCTCCATCGCCCGAAGCCACTGAAAGCCCTGGTTTATAAGGTCGGCTTACCATCTTGAGTGCGCCATAAACATTGGTGCCCAGTAGTTTGGGTATATCTAGAAACATGGCACGGGGACTCCCAGGCCTTGGGGGTACTAGGATTAGTTCTGGAAGCCCTGATTCACCATAGCTCCACAGTGTTCTTCCCTGACCGTCCTGGTAGGAACGCTTATATAGGACATCGCTACTGTCCGGAAGGCCCGATTCATCATCACACGCCTCATTATCAGTGCATGTGTCAACATCACATTTGAGTGTCTTGAGAACATCGAGATTAGGGGTGCAGCACAGTGACTTTTCACGATACCCTTGCAGGCTATTAGTATATCTCCTGAAATGCAAACGAAGGAAACCTACAACTGCACCCAATGTAACTGTCACCGCGAGAATCAGCTTCAAGAGTCACCTCATTCTCATTGCAGGTATTATCAGCGCAATCGCCTTCGCCCACCCAATGACAGTTCTTGTAGGGCATGGGCTGGCTCTTAGGGCAGCAGAAATGATTTCCATGTTTAAACACAGTTCCCCATCCGGTGCGGTCCCACATATAGGCTAGACTCTCCTCATCTTCCTTGCACGAGCTGCCGCTGGGTAGGGTTAGGATCCACTAGGTTATGAAGCATTCTCGGGGGCAGATAACATACACTCCAGAACTCCAGTAGCAGTTTTCGTTGAAATCGTCGAACATCCCCATTTTACAGCACAGAGCCTTTCCACCTCTTGAACATCTCCCAGTTCCGGACTGACCGGGGGTGCCACCCCAACTCGAGCTCGCAATGTGGACTTCACCAGCGTGGCATCTGCCATTGCAATCACCTCCAGAACCGCGCCATTGACAGTCTTTAAGCCCGCTATTCATAGGACAACATATGGGTTTGCCGCACTCGCCCTAGGGATTAAGTTAGATAGCCTCATTGTGTAATTATTGAGTCAAGCATACTTTGATTGTTCACTTACATCCTTACCTTTGCAGCCCGCCTTGTCATAGCCCATCTTGACATATGGCGAACAGCTCGCCACCTGAGGGTTCTCTAGGTCCACCGTATCTTTGAACTTGAAGCATCTTCGTCCAAGGAAATCATTGAGGTCATCTACAAGAGGCTTTTGCGCTTGATCTCTCCGGAAGCTTCGTGCGGTCACCAGCTTACTATTTCCTGTTAAAGCTTTGTGTGCAGTCAAGTCGTAGTCATCTACTAAATGTTAGGCTTTCCAGGATTCCGGACAACGCAAGAGAATTTCTATCAAACCTAGATCCGATGCCCATATTAAGGAGCCAGAGAAGCCCACTTCATCAGCCCAGTCAACTTTCTGCTTAAAAGTATCCTCATCATCATATGAGATCCACTGATTGGAGTCCCATGAAAAGTATTTGACTGCCGCCTCCTTGTCGTGAGTGACACTTGTTGTACTCCTTTTTGAGTTGCTGTTTTTGTTTAGAATATCTCTGATTTCATATTGAGAAAGATCTACAATATATCAGCTGTCGGAATTCTTTGAGGGACAATTTGAAAGGGTGAACACTAACATCCACTTTGGCCTGTGCAAACTCCAGGTTTAGCGCCCGCGCTGAAAGGGCATCCAGGTTCGCCGCAGCTGGGATTTTGAAGCGTGAAAGCACGGCCGTAGAAACCGAACCCAATCACGATTTTGGAAGGAGGCACCTTTACCCTCCAGAGAAGTTCCACGGCGGTTTTTATTTCAGTTAGATTTGTATGTCCTTGAACGATGGAGCCACTGTCAAGTTGCCTTATTAGTTGAGGGTGGAGAATTGACTTTTTGGAACATAGGGCTTACATGGGATTATCCCTATCCCAGACACCGTGTAGATCATACGACATCTAGAATAATTCAGCCCCAGGGTAGCTGCGGAAAATCATTTTCTTTTTGACTCACGAGGTTCATCCAGTCTGAATATTTGAGCAATCCGGGCAGGTCAAACCATCGCATATACCAGTATGAGGATGGGCCTGTGAAAGTGATGCCTAGTTTTCGTCCCGACTTATCGAATGTTTCACGTATTTTTTTCATTAAAAGTACAAAATTCCCCGTGTCTTCCTCCTTCCCACCTCTGTCGGGGGCACCTGGATATTCCCTTCACGGAAATCAGCGATCTTGTGGTGAGCAGGTGATTAAAATATCTCACCAATCAATGTCAACTCCATCAAAGCCATATTGGTTTAAGAAGCTGAGGATGTTGTCTGCAAATTTTCGTCGATTTGCAGGTGATCTCGCGATGTTGCCGAAAATGGGCTGAGTGATGGTATTGTTATCGGAGAAAGTCCAGCCACCGATACTGACATATAGTTGGAGGGAGGGCTTGACAATTTTGAGGGCCGCTACTTCATCAAAAAGAGAAATCGGTGTTGCGGCGTCCATGGTAGTAATCTCAAAGCTTGTAGGATCGATGTATGCAAAAGCATAATTGAGGTGCGTGAGGCCACCAACTAAAATGAAGGTAAGCGTGTATGCGTTTGTACGTTTACTATGAATAGACTTACCCGGAAGATCTAGGGGCGACGCTTTGTGACATTTAGATCGAGCATTCCATGCTTCATAATAGCCAATGACTAGTCCCGGTTACCATCTAGAAGATGTGTACGCTTTCGGTGATGCCTACCTCTGGACAATGTCTTGCCCTTCGCTGAGCCGCCCGGGGGCTTTGGGTGTAGAACACAGTGAGATTGACATCCTTTCCCACAGAATTCTATGCAGAGTACGTGTTAGTCAGGGTAGTTGAAGGATAGGAAGGGAGACATGCCTTCAGTTATGCCACAGAAGCCATATTGTGAGCAACTGGAGGAAACCATGATTAGCAAGACATTTTAGAGATTACGCTTATTGGTCTTTATATAATATATACCAGGTATTCAGAGGACATGTCTTGTTCACCGGCTTCGCGAACTCCCCACATTCGGCACCAGCATCGCAATTGCTAACGCAACCTTCGCCACAATAATCGGGGCCATACCCGCAGTACCCACCAGCTACAATCATCAATTCAGTATCCTCGATAGGGGGCATTAACACACTCACAGCCACAGCATGCACCATTACTACACAGTTCTGGGAAGGAAATGAGGATTGTCAGTAAAGGTAGAATATTCCATTGAACTCTGGATACATACTGCTTGGGCCGCAGGAATAATCATCCCAACGCAGCAGAGATGTGTTTAACTCTCGCAGAGGTGGCTGAACCAAGTTAGACGCATGTCGCCTGTGTCGCCCGATTGGAACCGCATCTAGAGGTGGTTTGAGGAAATGTATCCCAACGCCCTGGTAAAGAGAAGCAGATACAAAGGACAAGAACAAGTAGAACAAGAGCAACATGCTGATAAGGCTGACAGTTGATCAATGAAACAGGCCTTATCTCAAACTATTACGGATTGATTCATGAAAGGGGTGCTCTGGGATCAAAGTAAACGACGTCGCCTGGTTGGAATGAAGTCGTCCGCAGAGACTCTATCTGTGGGAAGATGAAGTCTCTTCTTGCGCTCAAAAGAGCAGAGCCTCAACCCCTTTTGGGAAATCCGCAAAACCATTGACATATTCTCTATGCTCCGATGAACAATAGCAGACATCAAAGGGTATATGACATTTATGGAAAGTAGAACAATATTTATATGCCTTTGATATAATTTCACTGACAATCTACTGCCGTCCACTCTGTCAAGGTGGAAAAAACACAAAGACTTCAAAGCCCAGGTCGGGGAACTGCTATTCCGGGCTGGAACGATACAGAGTAGAACAGGTAAGATCCCATATTCCAGATTATGGTGGCTGAGAATATGACCCTTAAGCTTAAAACTGTACATATTGACCGTTGTTCAGGAATATAGCCCTTGGTCATTGATATGATGTCCTGCAAAAATAGTTGATTGGCCTGGCGCTTAGTCAGCACACATGATCAACCCCTTTTTTCTGAACACGCGTTCCGGCAGGAAGCTGCTGTATATGAGCTCTGGAGAATAAAGTCAGCCATAAGGGATATCGCCCTGACAGATATTTTAAATACTTTCCGCCATTGCTTCGGAACCCGGAAGATCTCCATGTTTTGAGCACTGCGCGCTAGAGAAGGGCTTGTCTGAACTCCGCGTCCCAGTGCATCCAAAGCTCCCAATTCGATACCTAACTCTACAGCCAGTACGGAGTATTAGTATTGACTACTAATTCCCAGGGTAGAAAAGTTTGCGTTGGAGCAAATAATTGACTTTTCAACAGTACCAGGGAGACAGTTACACGCACGCTTCGCTCCTTACCTATCCCGAGAGGCATAAGTATCGGTTAGGCGGCATGTCTCACAAACTAATTCTTTCTCCAATTGTCCTGGTGCTGGTTCTCTTGGCTCCAACTATATGGAGCCAACAGCTTGAAGGCTATATACTACCATTTGAAGAGCTGGGGTTGAGTGCTTCCTGCTTTGTTGCTCTCAACACCACATTGAGCTCATGCCCTGCTTGGCTCGGGAGTTATTCCGGCATGGCGTAAGTAGAGTGCATACCCCTGAGGCCATATTCATTGTATTGTATGTTAACCCGGTAGATAGGCAGGCGAGTTTTGAAATACTTCCAAAGGAGCAACTCGAACTTCTCTGCGGAACTTCGTGTCGCAAGGATCTGGACAATCTTCGAAATTCGATTATGGACGCGTGCAAAGGCCCAAGTGATGTGATTGTTCCTGGTGGAAGCATAGCATACCCAGGTATGAATGAAGCCTGAGTGTTTTTGTGTTCTCTTCTGCTGATCGTAATCATTGAGCAACCTATCTCGTGGACCGGTTTCTCTATGCCGCCAGCCTATCCTGTCTGGAGGACCGGTAAGTGGCAGTGGTAGATTTAGGCGGGAGCAGTTTGTCAAGGTTATAATTGACAACTTCGTTAGATCAACGGGCCAGTACTGTGACCTCATTGCCGCCAGTTGGAACGGGACCTCCGCGCCGGCTCGGGATTGTTCGTTTTGTGAACTTGGCCTGCAAAAGCTTCAACTCTCATCACCCTTTGGTTATTCCGAAGAGGGAGCAGCAGACTTCTCATCCCTAACATCAAGTTGTAACGCTGATGGTTACGACTATTCTACCCCTGCATCGTATGCTCTCAACTCAACAACAGCTCCACCAGCACCAACCTGTGCTAAGCAATACGTAATCAAGGAGGGCGACACTTGTGTGACGATTTCTCGAGATAATAATGTCTCGACATATAGGCTGATTATAGAGAATTCCATCGATATCAACTGTAGTCTCTTGCCCGCAGCAGGAAAGTCCCTTTGCTTACCAAGGGAATGCGAAACCCGCCAATTACAACTGGCTGACACATGCCAGACATTGGTGCGCGACTTGAACATAACAATGGCACAACTCCTAGCCTGGAATCCTCATATCAACAGCGGTTGCTCTAATCTGGCTGCATATACCGGCTGGTATTTCTGTGCAAGGCGAGAAGTAACCATCATCTTGCTAGGATTCCAATATAAATTAACTAACAAGGCCGCCGCAGTTCCCCAACGCCAACCGTTCCAGTGAGAGAAGGGGGGAATATGATTACAGCAGTGCCAGTGCCCCCCAACGCCCAAGGACAATCAAACACCAACTGCAACCGTTGGTATATGGTACTTCGCCCTCTTTCTGGTCAATCCACAAGTGTGGAAGAAAAGGGAGGAAAAGGGAAAAGCAGCAAAGCAAGGGATCCGAGCTAACAGAACTCGCGACAGATCGAAGATGGCGATTATTGCTCCATGATTTCGCTGAGGTTTGGCATATCCCTCAAGGACTTTTATTTCCTTAACCCCCAGGTTGACGACAACTGCACCAACCTATGGAGAAATACGTCGTACTGTGTGCAACCTGTCGGAAACATTGCAACATATAGTGGATATCCCGTTGAAGCACCTTCAGCCACATTCACCCACCCTCCTGCAGAGTCGTTTGTTCCAAGCCCAATCGAATTCCCTCCGCTGAAGCCTGCAGCGCCAGGAACGCTCAAGGATTGCCTCATATACGAAGACGCCTTCAGCGAACACGCAGGGTTCGGCGATGACTTGAAGACGATGAACCGCTGTCAAAACTGGGCATGGGTGGCTGACGTGACAGTCGATGACTTGCTAGAGTGGAACCCAAGTCTTTCACGGGAGGATTGCTTTTTCCAGGTTGAATATAGCTACTGTATTCGACTCTGGGAGCAACGACGTAAGTATTTTGGATCCGACCTGGACCATTTTTCCACTCCCACGTTGTTCAACAAGAAACTAATGGATTTCCTTTTGCAGCCATCTATACCGGCCCACAAGACCATTGTATGGCGCCAAATACAAATTTAATACCGCCGACATCTGTCCAGCCATCGGACTGTGATTGCTATGTCCAGTTTCGAGCAGCTGATAAGGGTAAACGGCGTCCTTGATCCTCATATTGAAAGAGATTGAATTCTGACCGGAAACTAACTCAAATTTACCTAGCAATCTTCAAATGCTCGATGTTCTCCGATTTGTTCGGTGTCGATGTAGCAACAGTTGCGTCTCTTAACCCCTGGATCGGCTCAGACTGCGACACGGGCCTGTGGAGTGAGCTGTCACCGGATGGCTTCGTTCAACTTTGCGTAGGCAAACACAGTTCCCCTTCGCTACCGGCTTGAGCACTGAGGACAGAAATTGAGCCGGACTATTTATAATTGCGCTCTACGAGGAAGGGCAGGCTGGACTTTGAGGGGGAGTCTATCAATTTGAACTAAAATGAGGACGTTGAGTAGACTAAGATGATGTATGGGTTATCCTGAGCAAACATACTGTGTGGACCTTGTAGTACTCCGTATGCAAAACTAATCACTTCAACCTTTTAAGTTCGAATGGACTTTTACAGAGTATGACGTGGATTAAAAGTACTTGAACTTTCTAACTATCTTACAATCGATTCCACTGTTATATAAATTATTTATTTTGTTTTTTCTTTTTGCCACCTTTCGACTAAGCTGTCTTGGGTAAGGAATAAATCGAGCCCAAGCCAAAGTGTCTTGTCTCAAACATATTTTAGCGTTGAAAACTCTCAGCAACTTCTGCCACAATTTCTATATAGATCTGATATTCTCTGATTGCAATATATTATCCATCTCCTCTACTAAATGAAGCTATACTCATTTCATAATTTGGAAATTTTGGCTGTATATATATCATTGTGCCTTCTAAACAAATTTTGACCACGAAAGACACCCCTTCCACACCTACCTACCAGCTCTATTGCTAAATTCAGAAATCAGCACAGCTTCATTCAACAGAGTAGGCAGGATAATAAATCATTATCAAAACATACTAGATTTGTATAGAAATTGCAGCAGAAGATGATGAGAATTGATTGGACTCCAATCTAATGGACTCCAACCTAGGAGCTACCTCGAGTGCTATCACTAGTTAACCAACGCAACCGATTTAACCCAGGAAACGAGACGAAGCAAAAACAACCTCTTTCAATACCTAGGTACCTACCTATATTGACTTCGTTTCCAAATTTTATGGTTTACATGGTAAATAACAGCCAATTACTTAGTAGAGAAAAGAGGTTTCGGAGGTGAAAAGTCAATGACGATGACGTCCGGACAGGGAGGGTAATTACGTCACTCCCGACGCATCTAACATACATTCCAGGCCAGTCAGTTCCTTGAAATATAAAATGTGAAACATGACGGACTACATCTACGTGTAGGAATATAGGCCAAGAAAGCTTCGTGAACAGTAATAAAAAATAGGATAGGGATTGTTTAAATCGCTGGAATCCGCCGCTATCTCGACCCCGGATATTGTTGATCTACATTGAGGAAATCAAGTTGTGACACCAAAACCGCAAAAATGAGCCTTGCATCGCATGTAAGTGGGATTCCGCATAGGGGTTGTTCGTCGTCGAAGGGTAGAACAGCCAATGATCAACGGAGAGGGCTATGTCTATACACAAACTGCGTTGCCAAGCTTCATGCATTTTAGAGGCTTCCTCTTTTTTTCTGGGAATTATCAACCCATATGCTCGTTACGTCATGTTGTCTTGCTATAACTATTTTAAATGATTATCTGCTGACTTATACCGGTATTTCCACGAGTGCAGGTTGACGCCAACCAGCTCGTCGAGGAACTCCGCAAGGATCCGGGGCGTAGAAAAAGTGAACGCATATGGACTGAGAATGTCGCTGGGTCCATGACTCCGTATTCCACACGGTATGCTAGTCGTGAGGAAATTCCTAAGTTCCAGATACCCCAGAAGGGCGCTCCGGCAGAGGCAGTGCGTCGGATGTTGAAGGATGACTTGAATTTGGATGGGATTCCAAATTTGAACCTGGCAAGGTTTGTAATATATCTTCTGAAGCCCTGGGCAGCTTTTGCGAATTCACTTGGGAAAAAAAGAATATGACCCAAAGGGGGCTTTGGCAAATGTTATGTTAACGAAAATGCTTGAATGTTCATAGTTTCGTCGGTACTTACATGGAGCGCGAAGCTGAAGAACTTCTATCCGAGAATATCAGCAAGAATTTGGCTGATGCTGATGAATATCCGGCCTTGATGGAAATGCATGCTCATTGCGTCTCAATGATATCGAATCTCTGGCACGCGCAACCGGGAGAGCAGGCTACTGGATCTGCGACCACCGGGTCTTCAGAAGCTATCCACCTAGGTGGATTAGCAATGAAAAAACGTTGGCAGGAGAGAAGGAAAAAGGAGGGGAAAGACAGCTCGAAACCAAACATCATCATGGGTGCGAATGCACAGGTCGCACTGCTTAAATTCGCTAGGTACTTTGATGTCGAGGCGCGAATTTTAGACGTTTCTCAGAAGAGCCAGTTTAGGCTTGACCCAGAGCTTGTCAGAAAGAATGTAGACGAGAACACGATCGGCGTCTTTGTCATTCTAGGAAGTACATACACGGGCCACTACGAACCAGTGGAAGAGATCTCGAAAATTCTCGATGAATTCGAAGCGAAGACAGGGATAGATGTGCCTATCCATGTTGATGCTGCAAGCGGGGGATTTGTTGCTCCGTTCACATATGCCCAAGCTGGGGGTCCAAAATGGTAATAACCTCAGGCAATCCAAAAAAAATAAAAATAAAAATAAAAATAAAATAAAAAAAAAGGGCAAGCTAACAAACATAATATAGGGACTTTTCACTTCCTCGCGTAAAATCCATCAATGTGTCGGGCCACAAATTCGGCTTGGTATACGCCGGTCTTGGCTGGATCATTTGGCGGGATAGAGAGTATCTGCCAAGCGACCTTATCTTTGAGCTCCATTATCTTGGTGGAACCGAAGAGACGTTCACCTTAAATTTCTCCCGGCCTGGAATGCAGGTGATAGGACAGTATTACAATCTTGTTCGCCTGGGCTTCAATGGGTACCGCGAAATCATGGAAAATTGCCTAGCAAATGCCCGGTTGCTAAGCACCGCGCTTGAAAACACGGGCTGGTTCATTTGCGTCAGCGACATCCATCGGAAGAAAGGGACTTTCAAGTTTCAGCAGGTCGAAGGCCTGTCGAAATATCATGGAGGCGAGACATCGGCGGATTATAATGCCGGCTTGCCTGTAGTGTCTTTTAGGTTCTCTGATGAGTTTCAGAAAGAGTACCCAGACGTGAAGCAGGACAGCGTCAGTTTGTTGCTGCGTGCGAAACAGTATATCATCCCAAGTATGTCACTCCATATTCTCCGGCTCGCTTTGCTACGTTGCAATTATCATAAACTGCGAGAGATATTGGAGCGCGCAGAAGCTAACCAAGGGAACCACAACATAGACTACCCACTTCCACCATCGGAGGACAAGACTGAGATACTGCGGATAGTCGTGCGTGAAAGTATGTCTGCAGATCTCATTGATCGACTTGTAGCGGACATCGTGGCTGTGACTGAGAGGCTTATGGCCACAGAGCCCATGGATATGGCAGCGTTTCAAACAGGCCCTACCTCGGTCGCCAGGCGACGTATGATCTCGAGACATGGCCATGCAGAGAAGGAAACGGGTTTAAAATGGAAAGGCAAAAAGCATCATCACAAGGGAATCCATCGAGGCGTCTGTTAGTATAAAATGTAGCGGTTTTCACAGGACACAAATCGATGACGAAGCGCATTAGGCCATTTGGATCATGGTATTTTCGGCGTTTCCTTTGTCAATACCCGTAGCCGATGGAAAATATAGGTATATAATAGTTGGGTGGTAGATGTAATAACGGGGTTCCTTGAAATATGTGTGTGTTCTTTAACTTTGTTACTTAATTTCGCAATTACGACTCGAACAAAACATCGAAGCAAAGAACAATTCTTAAGCCTAACTGCTTTTTGGACTTCGTGTATAAGGTTCGGAACCGGAGTGGCGCATTCCTCTAGAGCAACACATAAGCACTCTCCGCGACCCTTTCTGAGTGGAAACCAATGTTAGGCGTGAAACTGAAGAGTTGGGGATAGGATAGAGCCTTGAGGTTCGTTGAGCAGCTGTAACTAGTAGATGAGTCTCGCTAAACTCCTTTCAGTCTAGCGCAATATCAGCATCCCCCGATATTCCTCTCTGCTGCTCTCTCGACCTCAACGTCAACAAAGGATATTGTCGCAAATGCTTGGTTCGTTTCACAACATTGTTGATACACAGTCAGCATGTCAGCTGGTGGGGGTTAGTTCCATGCCATTGCCACTAAAGCAGCTACTGAAGCCGTTCTTCCCTTTTGAAACTATTTCATTTCGATTACTAGAGTGTGCCGTCTTCCTCCTTGAGCCGCTGATTTTCAAATAGCATAGAGGTACCATTTCAATTCTCGAGATAACAAAGATGAATATTCTTCAGCGCCTTTAGAATTACTCTGAGGACACCGCCCAAGCTAGAAACCCAAGAATAACCATCGCTAGGCGTGAATTGTCTGTAAAGGGCACAACTTCGGAATAATGGAGCTCTATTCAGGTACCACTGCTCTAACAATATTGGCTTTGTATTGACTCCTTCAGACGAAGTTAAGACTCAGTCGGGAATCTCGATCTGTGTGATCTTGATCGAACACACCGTGATTTGCATCCTACGACGCTCTAGACCCAGGGGCACAACTAATCAAGAAATCATTGGCACGGTAAGCTAATAAATCTCCCCTTGTCCCCATTCGCCGGGGGATGCTGGCCATCCTTCGCAGCGAGTCGGGTGGCAGGAATCTGGCGCCAAAACTACGCAAGATGGCCGGAGGTTGGAGCACATGACAGGTCGCTCATTACAACGTACGCGCAATGATTTGTTCGCTACCCTATCGGTCTGTACGGTATTATTATTACATGTTTCGCCATAACATCTCTGCCTACGGCAAGTCATATATTCGCCTTTTTATCTTCCAATTTCTTGTCTCCTCTTCATCAGTCACCGTCGTCCACATCGGTGTCTCACTCTGGGTTTCTACGCTTATCTCTTACCGTATATTAATATTCTGCTTCCAACTTGGGGTGGACTGCGCTGTTGGAAAACAAAAACCTCTTGACTCTGCATTGCCATTTTTATTTCGATTTGTCCTAGCCTTGGTTTTCATCCCCGCATTGGCTTCGCTTTCTTGTGTGCGAGAGTCAGGGCTGGCGTCAGCTTTATGACTGTCATCTCCAACCTCATTGCGCTGAGATCACCTTTCGATCTTATTCTCTCATAAACCTTTGTTTTCAATTCTGTTTATCAACTCCAACGTTGTGTTTTTTGAGATCATTTATTTTACCCTCTTCCGCTGATTCATCATTCTTTCCTTGGGATTCTATCGATTCTCTGTTTTGATTTTGATTATCGGCCATATTTGTTCTGCTTATTCCTGATGTCTGTTTAATCGTTGCTGCTGTCGTGATCTATCTCGATCTGAGGTGGGAGTGCAACTTTGGAGAAAGCTTATTTCCCAATTCGGCATGGAAACTGGTCAAAGCCCGCATGCCATATCGTCTACTGGCGCTGTACAACCCAAGGGGTGTATCCGCACTCAAGGGTCACAAAGTCCGCCAGTAGTTTCATCTAGAGTGGCTCCAGCTTCTCAGCCTGGTAAACAATCCGCGGGTAAGCCACCTAGCCATGCTGCGGGCGGCGTTAACAAACCCAAACAGTCGAAAAGCCGAAATGGTATGGGTTTTCATTCATTCAACATTATAAGGATCCTCAACAGGGATCAAAGTAAATTTAAGTGGGCCGGCAGGAGCAGCTGACCTTTGTGTGAGTGATTGATCAGGGTGTGTGACGTGCAAAACCAAGAGGCTCAAGTGCGATGAGACGAAGCCGACATGCCAGCAATGTCATAAACGAAATGTTACCTGTGGAGGGTATAAAAAGGACTTTAAGTGGAGACCATTCAAGGAGACCCGTTTTACGAACAAATCTGCTCCTAAAGGGAAAAAAGGTTATATAATTTACCGAACATATATAAACAGACATTTATACTAACTTTGCGCGTGGATAGTTCCCCTTAGTGCACCACCCCCTTCTCCCACAGTACCTGCTCGTAAGCCAATCCGCTTAACACTGAGCCCACTAACTCCTCATAGTTCAAATTCACCTGAGGAAGATACCGTGGAAGAGTACCAGAGCCCGTACCTTTCTCTTGAGGGTGTTACATCCTTTCCTGCATATGATATTTACCCGCATTATCTATTTCCGTCGCTTTTAAGCCTACAGGATCACTATTTGGATGATTACTGTGCAGAAATTATCCCTGACTCATCATATATCTCCTTAACTCAATCTCCGAAATTAGCAGAAAGTCTCCTGGCGAATGATACCACAGGCCAGCTGGAATGCCCTTCTGAATGGCTAGCATCGGCCCCACCGCCCACCCCAGATCTTATAGATCTCGAAGATGAAGATGTGGAAGAAATAGTCCGACAGTCCAACCCGGAAGTGAGCTTGCCATCGTGTTGGGATGCTTCGTCTGCATCAGTGGATTGCTTCAAGAACCTGCTAAAAAGGTCTATATCTTACGGGCCATCTTTGCATCCGGAATCTCCAGCAATGCTCCTCTCTCGGTACGACCGGCAGACCTGTGGTATTCTGTCTGTAAAGGACGGGATATCTGAAAACCCCTGGCGTACCTTGGTGTGGCCCCTGGCAGCAGATTGCCCCGCGCTCTTCCATGCAATATGCTGCCTGTCCGCATTTCACTGTGTCAAAGAAAATCCTCGCCTGAGAGTCCATGGTATGGATCATATGCATCAGAGTATGAGTATGCTTGCCACTGGGATTGAAACTATGAAAATGGATGAGGCATTGACTACAACCCTAGCTCTTGTATTTGCAGAGTCCTGGGACCGACACATATCCACTGGCATGCAGCATCGCCGAGGTGCACGGGTTCTGCTGAATCAGGCTCTGGCGCAGCATCGTCAACGTACCAATCCGCCAGCAAAGGATATAGCACGCCTACATTTCTTGTACAATACTTGGCTATACACAGATGTTGTCGCGAGACTCATCTCACTAGAAGACGGCGAAGTTGACGAAGCTTTATTACTCCAGGATTTGAATCCCTATCTTCCACGCTCGCCTATCCACGAGGTTGATCCGCTGATGGGATGTGCAACGACTCTATTTCCACTAATAAGCCGGGTTGCCAGTTTGGTTCAGAAAGTCCGCAAGTCCAAAAGTAACTCTATTCCGCTCATATCACAAGCTTTGGAGCTTAAAACTCTCATTGAAGAATGGGAAGTTCCAAAGTACTTCCAACCTCCAGAGGATCCAACTTCCAATGTTCAACATAGTTTCCAAACCGCCCAAGCGTATCGTTGGGCGATTCTACTCTATCTACACCAAGCCGTTCCCGAAGTTCCATCTGAATCGGGTGCTGAACTCGCCAAACGCGTTCTTGTGCTATTAGCTACTGTTCCACCAAGTTCCAGAGCAACAATTGTCCACATATATCCCCTATTCGCCGCGAGCTGCGAGGTGGAAAGTGAAGAGGATCGAAACTGGGTCAAGGAGCGGTGGGCTGCGATGCAGTCGAGGCTAATGATTGGAAACATCGATCGGTGCCTTGAGGTCGTTCGGGAGGTATGGCGTCGTAGGGACTCGTTCAATGAAAGGAATAAGAATTCTCCACAAGCATCTTTCGCGCAACCTGTCGATACGACTCAACGGAAAAGCATTTACGGGGTTAGTAAACCTCCCACCGTGGATAATGACGAGAATATGGAGGAAAGTTCTGCGATATTCGAGCTTTCGGACGGGTCCAAAAGCAACCCGGCTATCGCAGGTAAAGGAAAAAAAATTAAAACATATCGTTCCCTCTCATCGCCAGTTAGTCCTATTAGAAGAGGCTCTTTTATTCCCTGGTTGGATGATAGGGACATCGAGAGTACAGTGCGGGGAAGATTGCATTGGGTTGGCGTCATGAGGGATTGGGGTTGGGAAGGTATTTACAGCCCTTACCATCTCAATTTGATTTGATGACATCGCATTATCGAAAATATACATACTAACGTTTGCATCACACAGTCCTCCTTGGCTAATGCACCAACTAGCCGAAAACGTCGCGGATATGGTTGTGCTGTTGCCGCCGTTACTTCATCCTTCGTTTCCATTTCTCTTGCATACAATGTTTGCGACCCACCATAACGACTTTCACTTCTCGCAGTTCACGGATTCCTTTTACTATACTTCAAATATTTAATCCCACGACTTTGTAACGATAATACACTTTACCCCATAATGTATCGCACCGTTCTACGAACCGATAATCGACAGCCTATTTCTTCCATTGCTCACTACAAGCGGGCTCGAATATCAGACCCATACACCTAATATCGAACATATCAGCCCTCGAGAAATACAAGCGGCGCAACTGAACACATAGCCATTTGTTACAACGATTTCTCTCCCTTCCTTATCCTGAACGAGCTTCTTTTCAACCCTATGCTATTATTAATCACCCCCAAGAGTTAAAGAAGATTCTACCTGATTCCCTTTGAATAAATAATCGCGCTCTGTCGATTTCGCTTAGAGACCAAATGTAGCAGAGCACAAATGAGACAAAAAAATCTCGAACATACCTAGGTATATTCCCGTTCAGAGATTTCACTCACCTTGTCCTCGTTCCCCCTCCGCCGGGATCTCCTATTTCTAATCTATAATTGCTATTTACGATGAAATGAATGAAAAAATGCCATCAATGTCTTGGGGCTTTCCGCTTTTTATGGATTGAATTGTTTGCACCCCATTTTTATTTCGTTTTTATTTCAATTTTTACTTTTTTCTTCCAGTTAGTTTTTTGTTGTTGTATTCAAGGTGTTTCCGTTTTGGCTTCATTGTTGGGGCTCTTTTTCTTGATGTATATCTTTTCGCGCAATCGTATACCGGATGGGATGAGGGCGTTGGTAAAGGAACAAAAAGAGCAAAGGCAAATTGGCGCGGATTTTGATTTCGATTTGGACTTGGATGGATTTTGACTTTTTTGATTTTCTTTTTTCTTTGCTGTTGTGGTTACTTCTTTTCTTCAGTGTTAGGCCCATCTCCCCCTGTTCCATTTGATCCTTTAGCGGTTCAGCTAATTTACTGCTTTTCGCCGTTTTCCCTTTCCCTGATAAACGAAATTGCCGGTGTCTACATCTATCCTTTCAGCCATTTGGTTACTTGGTTATACTCTCGCCGTTTCCAAATACTCTCGCATACGTTTCATCCACCCCTGCCTAGCACCTCGCTGGTTGGGAAAGCTTTATTTCCATCCATGGCAGTGATGGAAGAGAGGGCTGGTGCGTATATAATCTGTTCTTAGATCAATGCACACAATTAGATGTTCTCGAATTCTCACCCTATTGCACCATGTAACTTATTTCGCACACCCAGCAAGGTTCCAACTCGTCTGGTTAGCATCCCAGCAGCAGACATGTCCGGCTTCATATGATGTGGGCGAAGAGTCGGATATGCAATGTAGTAGAGCCCCTTCAAATAGCCACAACAGGAATTGCAAACGGCTATCGAGTGGTAGAGACACGAAGTGAGAACGAAGGGCGCGAAAGGAATGCTTCCTTGACGGCAGACGTAGAGGGAAGTCGACGCCGTTTGCAAGCTTGCCTGTCTGACCTTTGTGTCTTCCGCCTGGGTCATTTGGACTGTTGACCGACGTGGCCATATAACGGGCTAATGAAGTGGTATTTGGTCTTATGTATACGCATAACACGCAGACCGAGACCGGTGACATTATCATTTGCATCCTCGAGCCTTAGGACTGAGATTTCTCCCTTCACGCAAACTGCATTTAAGGTTCAATTAGAGCAACACCCAGACGTGCAAAGTACTAATCTCAATCATACAACGCAACTAAGTGAATAATAGTCACATTTCCATTCAAGCGAAGGGTTGCCGAAGCCGAGGGGTTTGCTTGTAGCTGTTTAACGACCGGGGGGACGCGTGACTCGATGGTTTGTCGTTGGGAGTAAGTCCAGCCCTGAGCTTACCCTCTACTTTCGGACCTCTTTTTCCTATTCCTTTAGTGCCAGTAATGGTGTGAAATGGCGTTCGTTCGCAAGTCAACATCATTCAGAACTCCGTAGGACTTCCCATATTGACGCCTGAATTTTAACCGGGCGGAGTTTACGGTCAGCGTTCGCAGGGTCGCCATTTTGGACAAGTCTTTATCTTTCTGGATGGCCAGGCCGAGAAATAGGTACACAGGAGTCGAGGTATTCAGGAAGTGTAGTGTTTTGAGTTTGTTTGAGCCTGCTCCTCAGCTTAGATCTGAGATCGTTCAGCTAACTAGCTCTCGTAGTTGCTGCTCATGCACAAGGCGCCAGCGCAACTCCTGTACCTGCTGGCACGACGAGCTACTCCATTCTGTTTGCTGTTGGCAAAATGGAGGTTGGCTGCCAGGCAGAAATACCCTGGCTGTATTTAATAGAGGGATCTGTAGGATGGTTAATCTCTTGTATTCGTGTGGGAGGAGCTAGCTATGTTATAAAATGTTTTTGTAGCACACAAGCCTTGGTGTGCTAATTATTGCAGAGCAGCAGAACTAGTTCACATTAGAAAACAGTGATTCTACAGACAGACTGCAGTATAGTAGAATTGAATATTTTCATCATTATCATCATTCTTCTCTGTGAATCATTAGTTTAATTGCTCTGTAATAATTAATTTCAAAAAAAAAAAAAAAAAAAAAAAAAAAAAAAAAAAAAAACATCTGCTGTCTACATGACTCACAAGATATCTAATTATTTTTAAGAAATTCAACAGTTATTTTTCAAGAGACACTGAATATGATTCAATTTTCTCTGAAAAGAGATGTTCTTACAGACTACAGTGCAGACATTCAATCTCAATATTTTTGATATTAAATAACTCAATGCTATCATTTCTGATCTGATATTTGATAAAACAGGCTGAGACTAAAGCTGTAACAGCAGCAGTGAATCATTTACAGAAAAGAAAATTCTATTTAATAACTGTGATAAGTTTTTTTTTCTTCTTTTTTTTCTTGAAATTAATGATGCAGTTATCTAATTATATATTAGTTTATTACTAATTTATACTTGAATTTATAATGTAAATGTTGAGGGTCCCGGGTTGATCGGCCCTTCTACCTGGTGGTGACTGAGCTCTTTTGCCCCAGTAGCCTACAGTAAATTTACTAAAATAATAGAGGCAATAATTTTTTACACTTCTATAGTAATAACTAATAAATTACATAGTTACATCTTAATAATAAAAAGCATCAAATGCTCGCTTACGCTCGCTTTGCTGCTTGCGCAGCCCCCTCTACCACTTCCACCGCCTCTACCGCCCTGCAGCCCCCCTACCTCTACCACCCCTACCACCCCTTCCACCCCCTACCCCCTCTACCACCACTTCCACCCTCCCCCCGACCACGT